TTTTAAGCAACAACATGCATACATGACAAATCCATCAGCGCTCACTGTGTATACTGAATTAAAAATGTTTAAGTGTATGTAAAAAAGATATAAAGTTTAGTATTTGGCAACTTTTATAAGACAAACTTAGTAGAAATATAATATTTATGAATACATGGCCACCATCTTGCACTGCCATGTTTGCACAGAAGAATTAAGAGTGGTTATTGTTTTTTGCTGATTTGTCCTGGTTGGAGTTTTTATGGTTCAAATTTGACAAATGAAGACTCATGCGAGTCACACATGGTAAAAGCTTCTTGTTCTTGTTCCCATCGCTGCACCTATAGATGAGTTGAGTGTTTTTTACTCTAGAATCTTACTGCCAAATATAAAAAAATATCAATTTTTTTCTCTGTGCTGCTTTAACACATTTACATATCGACTGCAGACGGGGTCAGCTCTACCACACAGCTTCAGAGGAGTTTGATAACATTAGCTGAATTATCTGCTGGTGTCAGGGGTGACAAGTTATTAATCTTATTTACCAATGTTACTGTTGTTGAGTAGCTTTTTGTCATTTTAACTGGTGGGTGATGTCTACACTACAAAGAGTCAAATTTACCAAGTGAAGTTGTTTCATTTCTAGTCCAGGTATCTCAGTACAATTATGAAATCCACGTTGATGACCTGACAGATTTGAATATTAAAATATTATTATTTTTTTTTTAATTACTTGTCACATTTGCAGCCACTTTTACTGATTTTATATGAAAATGGCCCCATGCACAGTCAGATGTGGACAAAGAGCTAAACCAACAAAAGGTGCTGCAAAAATTTTCAAGTATTTCACCCCAAATAGATGCAGTCAAAATCACTTCATATATTAAAGCTGTTGGTTATATGACAACAAATAGATTAAGAAAATATGCTTTTACATCATTAAAGGGGCAATTCTTATTTCCTTCACTCTTAATGCCATGAGTTAAAAGTAACTACCGATTCCCCTTAAACAAAGTAGTGGTGGTTTGACTCATAGTCAAATAGAGTACAGAGTATTTTAGTAGACTCCACCTTTGGTAGCATCCCAGCCCTGGTCTGTTCTGGTTCTGGCTGGTTTCTCACCAAAGGGGTCGAGCTGACCAGGGTCCTTTGTAGCATGTAAATATCTCACACCACCACACTTCAAATAAACAAGGGAAACAGTTCCTTTAGAAAGAGTCACAGTCAATCCGGCTTCATTTTATGATATTGATTATCTGTCTAAGAGCCACGATGACTCTTGTTTTGAAAGTGTGTGTGTATGAGAGTGTGTGTCTCTGTGTAAAACCAACAGTGAACCTCTGTCTTAGATGCTTCAGATGTTGAGCTGTAAAGTGAAAACTCTCTAAACAGCCCTCCTCCTCTTTCTCACTTTTATTCTTTGGTTGCTGCTTGAGTGTGTGTGTGACTTCAGGAAATGACTCTTGTGTCTGTGGGACTCTTGGACTCCACAGCTGCGACAATAACATCTCTATCTGCTTTTATCAAACCCTGGTGACTATTACTCATTAAAATCCCCATGTTATTTAGTTTTAAGGAGACCAGGGAACTGAGCTCAAGAGCTGTGGCTTCAGAGAAAAATACCTGTTTATTTATTTACTTAAATCACTTACAAAAGAACAAAGTAACTTTATTTTTCAAACTGTGTCAGTAAAGTTTTCCTACCAGAGGAGCAGGTTTCTCACCTCACAACATCTGTCTGTTCAAAATGAACCGTCAAGAAAAACTTCACAAAACAAAAATGTGAAACTGATAACAAAAGACACCAGATGAGACATAATCAGCTGCATGTGACATCACAATAGGTACATAAAAACTTATCAGTAGTGCCTTATGAGCTCCATCTCAGCTCAAGACTCAGTCCATCAGCTGTGCAGGTTTAAAAACTAGAATTTAAGGACCATCTCACCCTGAAGTCTGAATGTTTTTTTTTCCTCCTGAGTCTTTTACTGATTTATGTAGTAAATTATAAAATTATGAATTCTGGGTTTTATACACATTATAACTATATCCAGTTTAATAAGCCCACTTGGAATCAAGATTTTATAAATTCTATGATTCCTAAATGAAACAATGTGTCTTACTTACGACACGCTAAAAGTGAGATACAAACTAAAACGTACAATATAGACATCAGTCTTAACTGTGTCTGTAACTCTGCAGCTGATTGGATGAAGCTTTGGTTCCAGTAAATCACATATAACTCCTAAATGTTTGTATTTGTCATGGTTAAGATAGAGCAATATCTAAAGGCACATCATGTTCAAACAACGACAGGAAAGGTAAAAGACCTGTAGTTTTACTCAAAATATTGTGTGTTATTTTTTATATCTCTGTTTAAGGGCCTGTGTTTTGTTCAAATTAAACTGATTTATTGTAAAGTTTATGTTTATAAGTTTATAAAAAGTCTGACTAGATGTTTCTACTATTTCATCAGTTTAGCTTATACAGTTTGATGATCTAACTTTCAGGTATTTCTCCGATTTCCTCTCCTGTGGTGTGACTCTGGAGATGCAGTTTGTTCCTCAAAGCTTCACCTCTGCCCTCTGTTGGAGGAAAATGTACCTTATCTCCAGGACACTTTGAGGTGTTTCTGTGACTCTTGAAATGTATAGTTTTGATTGAAAAATGTAGCTGTTCATGCTTTTATTCACATAATCTTTTCTGGAAAAAAAAAAAAAAAACACACTGCCGTTTAATGCAGACAATAATGTGTGCAGAAACAAAAAGCAGAGAGACAAACGACAGTCCAACATTTTCAGAAAAACATAATGTATTACAAGCATTGGGAAAAGCTGATTGAAATGTAAACTGTATTTAGTTAGTATTAGTATACACCAATAAAACAGCTTTATCCAGTAGTCCCCTTCTTTGTCTGTTGTGAATGTTGAATCAGATGTGGTGGATCTGGAAAGTTAATTCCTGTTCTAGCCTGCCATCTAGTGACAGAAGCTGTGCAGACATTTCAGTCAAATGAAGGGGAAAAAAACTCTCTTCAGTCACAGTGCCACAGCAGTCTCCTTCAGAGAGGACTGGTTGACCACTGTAAAAAAGATACCAAAAGATAAGCTGTTAAAAGTGGGCCTCTGGTGGGGTTTTGGTGATGTTTGCTGTCCATTACAGTTTAACTTGCTTGTATGTAATAACAAGGCCGATGAGCGGAAACACGGGCCAGACTGTGATAAGAGCGGAAAGAAGTTTGTTATATTAGTGTGCACTGACCCAGTCTCACAGCTCAGCTTGGATTCAGACCAATCTGTAGACTTTACCCTGTGCACAAATAAAACATGTGCAATATGACAGAGTGCATCAGGGAGGACTTTATGTAACCTGCTGGTCGATGTAAGACACATGCAGTCCATGGAGCTGAGCCAACAACTGCTTCACTTTTCTGCACTGTGCTCCACTTACAACAACAAAAACAGCCACACTCCAACTCTACTACAACTACTACTACGACTACTACTACTGCTACTACTACTCGCAACCACTACTACTTCTACTACTACTACAGCTAGCTAATACTACCAGCTACTACTGCTACTGCGACTACTCTCTACTACTACTTATGTTACCTCTGCTACTGCAACTACTACTACTACTTCCACTTCTACTATTACAGCTACTAGGTACTACTACTATGACTACTTGCTACTACGACTACTATTTATACTACCTCTGCTGCTACTAGCTACTACTACAACTACTAGCTACCACAACTCATACTACCTCTGCCACTGCTGCTACTACTACTATTAATACCAGCTACTACTAGTACTACCTCTACTACTACTACTGTGACTACTGGCTGCTGCTACTACTACTACTACTATTTATACTACTACTACTATTTATACCACCTCTGCTGCTACTACTACTACTACTACTACTACTACTACTACTACTACTACTAGCTACTACTTCTATGACTACTCGCTACTACTACTTATACTACCTCTGCTACAGCTGCTGCTACTACTTCTTCTACTACTCCAGCTACTAACTACTACTACTATGACTACTCGCTGCTACTACTACTACTATTTACGCTACCTCTGCTGCCACTACTACTTCTACGACTACTAGCTACTACTACTTATACTACCTCTGCTACTGCTACTTCTACGACTACTTCTACTACTACTACTACTAGCCACTACTACTACTTATACTACCTCTTTTGCTATGACTACTACTACTATGACTACTACCTCTGCTACTACTTGTACTACCTCTGCTACTGCTGCTTCTACACTGCCACATGGTTTAATACTGTCACCGTATATTAAAAGAAAACAGCAAAACTACCACCACTACCAAATGATTTCATACTTCTACCACTACATTTATTTATAATACTGCATTTAATAATGTCACTGCAGTTATAATGGCCTGTTCAAACTCCAGTTACTAGAACTACAGAACTACAAGTAAATTCTTACTTGTGCACACAACAACCTTGTAGAAGTAAGTTAGTATCTTGTGTGCACAAGATACTGTTGGCAAAAGTTAATGCATCATCTTGTGCCCACAACTCACATTGTCTCATGCACGTGAGTTACTTTATTACCTTCTATGCACAATACCATATTCTTATGGGAGGCATTAACTTGTGTGCACAAGATACTGTTTTTGGGATATAAATTACTTTACAAACTAGCACACACAAGTAGCTTCTCAGCAACACAATCTCAGTTTTAGACTAAAAAGTGCTCAAAAGAATATTTAACAGTGAGATCGAATGGAAACTGTGACCTCTTTTGCAGAGGAAAAATATAACCCCATTCAACAACAATGAATAAAAAACACTTATAGTTATAATCATATTCTGTCTTTATTAGCTGAATTATACCATATAATTTTTTAAACGTCTGTGAGCATCTTCTTTTTTCCCTATAAATCAAGTTATTGATGGAGGGATATACCTGAGTGTCACTATCACTTTTTGTTTTGTGTGCACCCTCTGACATGCACACTTTCAGGTCACATGAGGAAGGTCAGTAAGAGACCTGCAGCAGCGCTTGGAGTTCAGGCGAAACTCCATACAGAAATCTGCAGATGTCTCTGTTCTTACCTGTGTACTCATGCTTTTCATTAACTCAAGTCTTTAACTTATCAATTCGTGTGTTCTGATGAATTCGGCCTGATAACTGACAACCACTGACTGATCTGTATGAGTTTACTTCTGTATTGAAGATTAGCTTAGTAGTGCAGCGCCTCAGTTACTTGCAGCCGGCTCTGCTCAGGAGGACTCGTCAGGGGCCAGCGGGGTACTGTGCTTCAGTTGGATGTGGTGCAGGGGTGTGTTGTGGTGTGTTTCTGGGAACTGGATTTGGGAAGGAGGGTTATCAGCAGCTGATAAGAGCCACATTTAAAGGGTTCGATAACGATCGGACTACCTGACTTCACACCGGACACTGCAGAGACAGAAACAGAACTTTCAGAGGATATAACCAATCATGCTCCTTCTCCCGCTGCTCTTTGCCTGCTTTGCTGAGCTCTTCTTTGCTGGGACAGTATCTTGCATGCCCGCAGGTCTACAGGGGCCACACATCGCCCACGGCTGGGGGCAGGTGGTCCGACTCAGGCACCTGTACGCCGCCAGACAGGGACTTCACCTGCTGATTGGTGTAGACGGACAGATCCATGGTTCAGCGGACCAAACCCTATACAGTAAGTGTAGCAGTACTGTTTGCAGACTGTTATGATCTGAGGAGGGACAGAGGATCATGATGTCTGTTCTTCAGGTCTGCTAGAGATCCGGCCAGTGGATCCGGGCTGCGTGGTCATGAGAGGAGTAGCCACGGATCGATTTCTCTGCATCGAAAGAGACGGGAGTCTCTACTCATCGGTAAGAGTTTATTCATTATTTATCTGGGGGGAAAAGGCTTCAAACTGTTGAGTTACAAAGTTGACAAGGGAAAAAAACACGTGTGTTATCGAAACATAGAAAGAAGAGGTTGGTTTTGGTGACAGAGAGAGAACTTGTGGTTCAGGCATCACAGAAAAACGCAAAATCAGTCCAAACTCACCAAATTGGTACTCGTTGATATAGTCAGTTTTTGCTTTTTAATATATGCAACAAAGATTAAACGTTTCTCAAATGGAGGGGATGTACTTGATTTTGCAATCATCATGTAAAGTGTGACACCCACTCAGATTAAGCAGATTTTAGAGGAGTCAGCAGAGTCAAGTATAAAAATGTGAAAGCAAAGTTAAAATCTGTCATTTCAAAGATCAGTAACTCAACATCTTATAGTTACGTAGAATTTTGGTTTCAATTTTGAGTTAGTAATTTTATATTCAAAGTCTTTTCTTTCTAGAAAACATCTGTATTTAGAACCTGTCACATTTTCATGTGAGCACCTTGTCCCCCTGTTCTTGCTAAACTCATGACTCCTGATCTTACTTCATCCTGTCACTTTTTCTGAATAAGTGTCTCCCATCCCATCTCTTTACATTTTAACCAATCAAATGTCCAGAGCCTCTTACTAGATCTATGGTTACTTCCAAGTGCCCCTGTTAGCCCTGTTTATTTTCCTTTACTCTTGACAATGTAGTGTGTTTTTCTCTGAAAATGTCCTTGTCTCTGCTGTAAAGCTCACTCTGACATAAGAAACTAGCTGTTGCATTTTTTTCAAGGAGTCTGAAGCATAAATAGCCCATAAATGCATTGTTGGCTAAATTAAATCAAACCAAAGTCATAATAAGATGAGCTATTGCATTTTCCACGTTGCCTCTTGTTCGGCTATGCTTTTCGGCTTTGTCTGAGAAGTGCTCAGTCATACCTGTCTGAATCCACATTGGTTCTGAAAAAGAGACTGGAGATGCAACACGAAGCTCCAGCATCTTTACATGTATGCATACATGTTCAATTCTAGAGTCTGGTTGAACACATCCAAGCTCTTTGATTCTCACCTTCTCTTGCAAAGATTTCTTAAATAGCATTCTTTTCAGCCACTTCAGCCACTCACACAGTTGATGAAGACTTTGTGAGAAGCTTCACACTTCATGTCTGTATGAAAAGGATGTAGCTCCCTGTCCTAGTAATTCCACCTTAAGTAACTCCTGTCTTTTGTAAATGTACAGATGTGCATGTACATCTTACAACAACAGTCAACTGAGAACTTAGAGTACAAATACGTGCACACTGAACCAGAAACACGTGAGGAATTAGAAATGTCCGACATGTTAAATATGTTTAATCAACAGTTTTTAATACAGTTTATTCATTTACCCACTGGATAGATATTTGCTTTGGATCAAAAAATTGTGTATTTCTAACTAACTTTTTAACATCTGTTTGCTTGTCATCTGCTAATCTTCTTGTAGAGTGGTAGGCAGCACTTTAGTGCCCTCTGTTGACTATCCACTGGTGCTGCAACTAAGATCTCCTCACACTCTGAATGAGTTGATCAGAGCAGATGAAAGTGTCAGAGTGCAGTACAGGCACTCCCTCCGAGTATCTCCTGTCAGCATGCAAGCATCAGCATTTTTAACTAGAGGAAAAATGCATCACAGAAAACTGAATTTCACAGGAGATAAAAGTTTGATCATTTACAAATTGACAACTACTTTAAATTTTGATTTTAAAATACTAATTTACATAAGAAAAGATTGATGGATTAGTTTCATCAGTGTTGAATCTATCACTTTGTCTGACTCATACCTCCTTCCCAAGGTTTAAGACTCTAAAAATGACAACATTGGAGTTGTCAGTCTCTACGTATGTGTATGTACAGTGCCTTGAAAAGTAATCATACCCCTTGAACTTTTTCACATTTTGTCACTTTACAACCACAAACTTAAATTCTGCCTTCACAGAACAGGTGTTTTTATGCTGATACTAAATTACACACAGGTGGACTCTATTAACTAATTCGCTGACTTCTGAAGGCAATTGATTACACTGCATTTTATTTAGGGGTATGAGAGTACAGGGGGCTGAACACAAATGCACACCAAACTTTTCAGATTTTTATTTGTTTAAATTTATGAAAACCCTGTATCATTTTTGTTCGGCTTCACAATTATGTGCTACTTTGTGTTGGTCTATGAAAAAAAAAAATCTCAATAAAATACTTTAAAGTTTGTGGTTGTAGAGTGACAGAATGTGAAAAAGAAGGAGACATCAGTTTTAATCTCAGTTAGTTTCATACTAGATAGAAACATGGAGCTCTAAAGGACCTCATTACATGTTTATTTATTTAATTTTGACTCGTTCATGTTTACCCCTTTGTCATTATTTCACATGGCAAATAGACCTTCAGACATATTGAATAATCTGTAAAACGTAAGATTTGGTTCATGCAGAAGTAAATAAATTCTCCAATTTAAAGTTTAGTAGCAATTTTTCAAAACTTTCCAAGGTGTTTTTGACGAAGTGTGTCACAGCTGTTTTCATCCCTGTCTTGGTAAACATTCATTGATAAATCCAGTGTCAGAGTAAAAGTAGGACTTTGCTTTGGGACTGAAGGTTAAAATTCTGCATGGAGCAAGAGGAAAAGTATAAAGTAATGACTGTCAGGAAAAGTGCAAAATTACTAATTATTGAGCAAGACCCCCAACCCCCGACTGCTGGAGGTGCTGCTCCGTGCAGCTACAGCAGCAAACACCTTCTCTATAAGTGGCTTTCTCCCATAATGCATTTGGGAATCAAAGTTTTTGAACACTTTGAGGGGAGGGGTTGAGAGAATCTTGCAGATGATCTGTGTTAGCCTGAGCTTTCTAGTGTTTTTGTGTTTTTAACGATCAGAAAACACTTGTTGCCCATCAGGCTTTCATTTAAACAGATGCTGGTTCATCAACCTTTGTCCGCGGTGCTGCAGCCGCGATGTGTGTTTGCAAAGAGAAAAAGCTGAATGAAAAGAGCCTCAGCAGCAATAACAACCTTGGCCTCTGGCTGCGTCTCTGGAGCCAAAGCAAACAGCTGTCCAAGAACTGACAGCCCCGTTTACGCCTGTTTTTTTCCCTGCTGAAAGAGGCCTTCAGCATGGAAACACCACCTATACTGTTCAGATAGAAAACACCAATATAGATCTGGAGTCATGTTGTCTTTAAACAACTGGACTGATCAGGAAAGGCTGACATTCTTGTGCTGTCAATGTTTCTTCTATTTAGTTATAAGTTTCTGATAATAAACATTTGAAACATAATAAAGACGTGAAAACAAAATCTATGTCAATAACCAAAAGAGATATCTTGTTGAGCTTGAACATAGTTTGGTGAATTCTGCTCTTGGTATTTATTCTCATACTCACCATCACATCTCCAACTCCTCGGTCGGGGTACCTCTGGATGAGGACTTGTTTTTTTTAATCATGATGGGAAACCAAATGACTGTTATTGTATTTTTTGTTTGAAACCATATACAGCAAATTCATTTTACCATTTGAATCAAATAAACCAAAATAAAAGCAGTGTTGGCCTACTGCAGACCTCCTGAAGTATTAACTTTGCTTTTGACCTTACCCTTATTCACAGATTTTGTGCTTGAAACATGCAACTCTCTATGCTGGCATATTGAAGTAAATACGAACTGGCCATGTGGCATAGTTTTGGGTCCTTTTTGGCGGTTTTGGGTCTGAGAATTTTCTGCGAATCACCTCAAATGTGTATTCTAAGTGTGTAGAGTGATTTTTGTTCACAACTTCAAATATGATTCATATTTGTGTACAATACGAGGGTAAAAAAGCATAAACAAGAATGTTGGAACTGTCAGCCTGATCTGAAGGTAAAGGGATATTCTCGGTGTAGTCGCTGATCGACTCGTCAGGGCTCTTTCACAAACAAGCGGCTGCTGGGGGAGAGTGGGTGAGTTGTGTTTGGTCTCTTTGCTAAAGAAATCAGGCAAAGCAAAAAAGATGTTTGGTGTCTAGTACTATGGCTGGGACCCTATATGTACTGTTGATGAAGTTAGGTGCTGTTCTGAGCATTATTTGTTGCTATAGAGTGGCTCTTTGGTTGAGGTTTACACATAGAGACATAGACTGCTGTGTGTTGCTATTTTGCGGTCATTGCTGAAGTTGGTGTCACTAGAGAAGCAAGCAGTCGGCTACATTCATGGGGTGTCAGGGGGGTGTCTAACTCGGTGTTACGATGTGTTTGACCATACTCATATTTATGCCAGAATATTCCTTGAAGGTAACTCATAACGTCTGTTCTAGTTCGTGGACTTGAGAAACTCGTAGCTGATCGTATCAACTTAAACAGACAAACCAGACTGTACAAGAAGGACTTCACATATACTGGAGCAGATAACTAAAGACTATCGAGTCAGTTAACAACAGTTATACTAGACTTACTTTGGCTCATCGTGGATTATGTAGAAAGGATGGGAATTGCAGGTGATAAGATACTGATATTGATATGATGTGATACAACAGATACAATATGACATAATACAATATAATAAGATCAGTGATGATACAGTACAATTCAACTCTATTTCACAGTAGCACTTGCAGCAATGTCAGTAGTGCCGGGTCTTTTTTTTTTCGTCAAAAGGTCAAACCCCAAATATGGTGTCACGCTAATCTCATGAATTGAGGATTTGTAGCACTTTCAGGTTCTAACGCGTGAACGTTTTCTCCCGTTTTTACAGACCATCTACAGCAGAGACGACTGCACCTTCAGAGAACAGATCCTTCCTGATGGGTACAACATCTATGTCTCAGACAGACATGGAGCTCTGCTCAGTCTGGGGAACCACCGGCAGAGGCAGCAGGGTCGAGACCGAGGCGTTCCGTCTCTGGCTCAGTTTCTCCCCAGGATTAGCACTCTGGACCAGACCTCACGTCCAGGACCAGACATCCCTGAGCAGCAGGGACAGAGTGTGGACCTAGCAGAGGAGCCTATGGACACCATGGATGTGTTTGGGAAGCTGTCTCAGATCATCCACAGTCCCAGTTTTCATAAGAGATGAGAGAGACGCTCCCACACACACCTGGAAATGGATGTGGCCCAGGGTGAAACCAAACACTCATGCTGCACGCCGTCGAACCAGGAGATGGTGAAGGAGACACGCTGAAACTCCCTGTGAGTACAGGATACTCCTGCAGAGTCTTGCAGAGTCCTGACGAGGGGAGAGCTACCTGTGATCGGTTGAATATTGGTGACACCGTCAAAGTTTACTGAACAAAAACAGAGTGTGCTAGATCATCATCCCAGCCAACAGAATACTCAGGACATTCAAGATGGGACGGATATCTAGATATTCAGGGAATAAGAGGAGCCGACTGAACCGGGGATGACATGAACAATGAGAAACTGTGAAAATGAAGACAATGAAGACAAATACTGTTTGCAGCAGTCTGTGAACTCAGCTTACTGCTCTAGCTAAAGTGCATTAAAGCTGCATTCTTCCTTTGTCCAGCACGGTTGTAAAATCAGTCCCATTGTATAGAAGTCTATGAGGAAAATGGTCCACTTATTAAATTTATTGTCTCACTGAACATTTTCCTAACAACGTTTTGATCTCAATCTTTAGTTTCAAGTCTTCTTTAGTACAGCATGGTGGCCAGTTTGTAAATCATGGTGCCATTTGGAGACATAGAGACCAAGAAGCTGGGTAGGATTTAAACAGAGTACACCTGGGATTGATGAGTGACTGCTAAAGCGACCTGTGAAATGACTCTGTGTGTTGTCAGACTTGAGACACTCTCTGCACAAAGTGCATTCAGTTTGAAGCATGTTAAGGTCGTACAAAACAGAAAGTGTGCCTGCACCTTACTAACTTTACTATCAGTGGTGACAAACTTTAACCTTGTTAACTTTGCACAAGACTTCATGAAGAGTCCCCCCTGTATGAGATGCAGCTGTTGACTTCTTATTGTAGATAGTGTGTTAGTTTATGTTCCATCAGAGTTATGTGGCAGATATGGTCAACTCCATTCTTCATAAATAATCACACTGTTTTTGTATCAGATGTTTCAAATGTTAGTTCTTCACAATGCTAAGATCATGTGAATAAAGCACCTGCAGCTGTGTAAACCAGCTGGGCATACTGTCCTCATGATCTGCACGCAGCAATAACGGTGGCTATGCAAGATGGTCCCACACAAACAGCCCTGAACTGGATTGGTCTATGGTGAACAGGTTGTTTCAGAAGCCCAGCAAGATCTCTCTGGTCCGATTGATGGCTTAGAGGGTCTTCATGGCAGCAGTTTAATCTGACCCGCCTGCTTTTGGGTAAAATTAACATGAACCCGAACATCATTCAGGCTTAAGTCTAGTCATTGTTTTTGAACTAATGCATAAATAACTACACAACCCATAAGGTCCTTTGCTTCTAATTTAAACTGACTTTTGGTCACTCATTCAGTCCTCTACCACTTGTCTGCACCATTCTTTTTCAGTTTGGCAGACATCTTAATTCAACTCTTTCTTTGTTGTACCTTCCCTCACCATTTCTAGACTATGTCCTCCTCTCTGCTTTTGTGGATTTGGATGAGAGCATTAAGCTGGAGAGCACCCATAGCCCCGCCCTGTTATCCAAGTGTGGTCATCTCCAGCTCCAGGAAAAAAAAGCAGTGGAAAAGCTAACTTTAGGCCTTTAAATGTTACTCCAAAAATAATGACCAAGCTCACAATGTGGTGTAACCTGAAGGAAGACGTTTTCTTACCTGCCCTCACAGTATGTGAATCATGTTTTCATCCCCAACAGTCTCAGTTTTTAGTCAGTCAGCGTTTTGAAAGGACTCTGGCCCTGTAGACGTGTAGTAGTTGTATTTATTTGGTTATTTAAATGAACATGTTGTATGCTGAATGAATGCACGTCTGTATTTTACTTCATGTGTTAATGTTCGCTGTTTCCTGTAAATATACGTGTGATATAAAATGTGCTTTTGGAATAAATTAACAGAACAAACCTTAAATCTATCTGTGTTATGTCCAAAGCATTTGCAGAAAATATGTATTGAAAGAATAAATACTATATGTCAAATTAAAAACATTTCTTTTATAAAATGAGTGAAAGTTTTTCTTACATTTTGAAACTTAATACTTAACTTTAGACTTTTCAGCAGGGGGACTTACTGCCAGAATAGCATATTAATGAACAACTTCTGAACATAAGCCTTTTGAGATTATTTGCAGCACAAAATCAAATAAATGAGACGAATAAAAATGTTGCAGTTATTAAATGAATCCTCCTGTCACTGTTTCCTTTTCATTTTTTCAAAGTTTGATGACTTGTTTAACATTTCTTTTAAGATTTATATACCTGTTTTTAATATAAATCCACCCTCACTGTAGTATTTTTACTCCACATTTTAACCAGTTACATTATTCGTTCTATTCTTTAGTTTTTATTAAACTTAAATTTCTAAAAACTTGGAGCAATGTGTAAAATGTCAAAAAGCAGATGATGGAGGTTTTCAAATCGGTAATATATAACTGAACAAAGTAAAACAATAAAACAATAAAACAGCATATCAAGTGTTGGCACAGTAAAAAAACATATTACTTTGTGAAAAATATTCACTCATTGAAAATTTGATTCCAGCAACAGGTTTCAAAATAAGTTAGACAGGGGCATGTTTACCATTGTGTTGCATCACCTCCTCTTTTAACAACCCTCTGTAAACATTTGGAAATTGAGGAAAACAGTTTTTGAAACTTTGAAAGTGAAATAGAATCCCCTTTTTTTGCCTGATGCTGAATTTCACCTGCTTCTGGTAACTTTTCCCTTAATTTTAATTTGTTCAAAGTATTTTTAATGTTTACAGGCAGGACAGTTTAGCACCCACGTCTACAGAGCCATGCAGTTGTAATATGTGTACGTCTTTCCACCATGGATGCTGGCTTGTGAGCTGTGGACAATAGCTGACCTTGGATTCTTTTCTTTAAACCCGAATCGGATAAACAACAGCGCACTGCAGACGTAAATAAAGTTATTCTTATTCTTAAACAAGGAAGATGATGATGCTCCGTCTTCATGTTTTGTTTTGCACCAAAGACAGATTGGCTGTTGATATTCAATCTTTGCAGCTGGATCCCACTACTTTTGTTTGTTAGCTGTTGCGAGTGCAATACGAGTTTCTATTCATATGGAAACACCGTATAAGGACTGTAAAACAATATCTACAGCAACAATAACTATTAGTTATTGTTATATGGGCCGTATCCTAATGATATACATACTCACGTCAACATAACCCTCCGTCCAAATAAAAAAAAAAAAAACATGATTTGGATTTCAGCAAAAATTAAGATCGTTTAAGAGTGAGAGCACAGCTGCGCGTCTTCGTGCGTAAAAGGCGAAGGAGCTCGCTGCTGCGCTGATGTGCCCGTTAAATATGAGGAAAGAACTGCATCCCCAACTTCAGGCTTTAGACCTGTCATTTGTTGGTGTAATGACTTATTTAAGCAAACCCCATATGTTCGAAAAGACCATGGAAGTGCGAAAGGTTGTATTATTTCGGACACGTGTGGTTTGAAGCATCAAAAACAGTCTCCGGTGCTTTAATTCAGTTTGGAACCGGTGACCCTTTCATTCACATGTCTATGCATTTCTTCACTTATCGGAAACAAATAAAACACAGAAGAGAAGCAATCAACTTGATCTCAAAGTCCGACACAGTCAGAAAACTTTTCGCACCCACCGCACCTGCCACAATAACCTGGAGCTCCTGCTTCATGCGCATCTCAAGCCAAAGGTGTTCACTGATACGATTATATTCATCAACATAAATGCGTCCCATGGAAAGACAAAATGATTACATCTTCAACGCAGACGCCCATCTGGTGTATACGCACACTCTCTGCGTCCACATGAGAGCCACACGCCACCTTTGAGCGTAACGTGGGCGTAACTTCACTTGCTCAACACAACGTGGGCTTCAAACTGTTAAGTCCTAAGGTGGCGATATCAATGGCACTTGCGTAGCACGCCAAAACGCTTTGCGCTGTGTGCACGATGTGGCCAAACTTCCCTGAAAACCAACGCAATGATAAAGTCATCAGTGTTGGTTAGAAAAAAAAGAAAAAAAAAAAAAAGGAAAAACAAGACCATTTCGAGTTTTCCCTCGATTTCGACCAAAAATAACTGTGATAAGCTTTTGCATGAAAGTTACTCTGACAATGGTGACACTAACACTACAGTAATAATCCGTTACAAAAAGTCCAATTTGGCCTCTGTCATTTTTTGTGTGCCTCGTTTTTATCTCATGGCTGTAGATGGTGCTGTTTACTGAATTCTCTGCATATGCGTTTGCGGATGGCGTCTGCTGATTGGCCCAAACTCTGTGACTTTATTTCCATCTCTTTCAGTGCAATATGAAAATGCAATAATAGTAACAAAATAACCCTAAACCTAATCTTAACCCTGACCCTAACTCTGTGGCTTATTTTTTTCCCTCTTCAGTGCAATAAGAAATTGCAACAATAACAATAACCTCAAATCATGCAGTATCCTCAAGTTCAGCTGTGCTACCTGCTGACTATGCATTACATAACCTGCTTATCACCCTGCCTCTAACTAAAAAGTTAACCAATTGACATAAAACACCGATTAAATGGGATTTTTTTAAATTTATTTTTAAGTTCTATATGCAGTTGGAAAAATAGACAATGTGTAACTGTAACTGAATATTGAAACTCACTGTCATGCTCAACTTTCAGCCTGTTCTTTGCTCTAATCATATTAAACTGAACATCTCAGTAAAAGGAAACATTAGACAGGATGCCTATAGTATCATTTCTGTCCTCATTTAGCTCTTCTTCTCAGAGCTTTGCAGCTGACACACTTTTAAACATAAATGAGATGAATATCACAATATTGAACTCTCTGCTACCTATCAAGTTTTTGGGGTCTAGCAGCTCATCAAGCTGCTTTCACATCTTGTCTCCTATGGTACTTCATACAATACTTTTCGAATAGTGCACTTTTTGTTTTTAATCTTGTTGGCATTTCATGTTACAGCTATGTATTTTTACTTTTTAATCTGTCACAGGTTTATTTTTGTAAAGGTATATTGTAAGCTCACTGTGTTGTTTTTAGACCTTTTTCTGATCAAGAATACCTATGCTATCTCTGAGTGTAACTTGTACAGTTTAATTCCAGTATTCTGGGTTAAGTTTATCTTTTGTTGTAGTTTCATTAATGTTTCTTTATTTGATCAAACCTGTTGTCAGGTTGTGTGGAGTTTTTTTTCTGAGGGGTGGAGGTAGGTGGATGACAAAATACAAAATATGCATGTTTCATACAACAGATGTGTACCTGTGAGCTAAATCATTTGACACAAAAATTATTTATCTGTATTTTCTGCTAGACCAAGCCTTCTTCGTAAACCAAATCCCTAAATAACAACCAACATCTGTTTAATTTTGTTTTCTGGGTGATCCCAGCTCTTTAACTCCCAACTTAAGCTGCAAAGATCTCTAAAACTAAACTATTTTCACTTAATTTTCTTTTGTGGAAAGGGAACCAGCTCTTCCATTATGACATGTTGGGCTGCCATCTACTGACTTGTGGTGTAGCCTAACAATAGATAACTGATTTTAGTTGAAACAAAATAAAAAAATCTGCTTTTACAACCCAAGAGAGTAAGAGACATAAATCTGGTTCTTCAAAACACCCCAACATTTAATCTTAGTATTAAAGAAAACAGAGTAAATAAAATATAATTTGGAGGCAATAGGGCTTCCAAGCAGAGGCATGTCCAGAAGTTTCTTACTCGGGTGTCCCAAGTGAGATCATTAAGCAAATGAAATTGTTTGATTACTCTTCTCATATCCATTAGGCATCTGTTTTGTGCATATAATTCTTTAATGTCACTTTGTAATACTACAAAGCAGAACTACATTAGTCTTTTGAATTTTTATTCTCAAGGGACTCACAAAAACCACATATCTAGGTTCATATCCTCAAAGAACTGGTAATATGCAATTTTTTCTTCAGACTCTATCAACTTTATCCCCAGCCCCCATGATGCCTTGTGTGAATTATGGGTGCATCTTCCAGCGCCTTCTGTTACTGGATGGGGAGCCGGCATTTTCAAGAGCAAATTAACACTATTCGTTATTTTTAGAGTCATTGAGGATAAAAACAATGTGGGAACATCATCTGGCACATCCGTAAATAGGAAAATGTGATTATTCCTCTGCCCTCCTCTATCAGTTGGGGCTGGGGGTGTTGTAAAGAAATGGCCTCAAATAACATATACTAGCTTATAAGCTACTTTGTTAGCTCTGTTGCTGTAGACAGGGAAGCAGTGGCTTAGCATTTCTTCATAGCAACAAAATCAGTGGTATTTTGTTAATAGAGGTTAACCACGATCTTATGTGCTTGAAAGTGAGTTTTAGAGACACTAATGTGTTTCCTCATAAAGCTCGCTGTTTTCCCACTCTTGTTTAGCTACATATATAGATTGGGAAGTGTGTGTGTGTGTGTGTGTGTGGTGGGGGGTCATTTGGTATTAATTTTCTTTTCTTTTTATGTATGGCACTTTGTATTGCATTGTTGTGAGAAAAAAGCTTTATTTGTTGGCTTTTTATCAACAAAATAAAATGACCAGACAGACACAGTCTTAAGTGGTTTCTTCAGGTTTAGGTTTTTCAGCCACAATCTTTTTGTTTTATTGTTGTAAGGCAGATGATGGAAATAGTAGCGAGGGTCACAGGAACACTCCATATTATTTTGGGGTTCATGTTCAAAGCACTGCTCATCAAGCCATAAATCCAACTTCCTCTGGATTTTAGTACAACCTGAGAAGGCGCAACATGTACCAGAACTACATTATGACATTTCTTAATATGTAACATTAAAAAAAAAAAAATACATGCAAGATAGTGTGAGGTATTTTAGATTTGAAACAACTACTACCAATGCTCAGATACTCCACAAGCCTACTGTCCTCTAAATGGCCACCTCCCAGATGCTTTCCAGGGGTTGGCCAAGGGCAGAGCTTAATGTTTTGAGCCCGCCTCCTTTATTATGGTCAGTTCCTAAGTATGCATCTATGCTTAATCTTTGGTATTTTAAGTATACCGTCAACTTTTAAAGGAAACACAAAAGAAAACGCTGATAAAGACATTTATCACCTTAATGATTTGACTTTGTCTTTATTCATCAGCTGGCCTAGCCTGACTCCCACACTGAAAAAAATGTTTTATTATTTAGCAGACTGTAAAATAAAAATTTAACTAGCCAAAAAGAAAGCAAAACTTATTCTTATTCACAGCTTATTCACATTCCTGGGAGGAACTCTCAGTCTGTGTGTACTTAGGTGCCCCCTGTAAAGAAAGTGGTAACTCTTGAGCCAATACTGAGTTCATCTAATCCATTTAAACACAGTGTTAACTGAAACCAAAAATCTCCTTCTGTTGTCGTTGTACATTGTAATTTATCACTCACTATGGATATTTGCGGTGGAAAAAGTATGCAAGGCTGTTTTCTTCCAGGTACTGATCCCTTTACAGGAGTTACAGGCATTAAAAACTACTGTATAGAAATTACCAATCTTGCCACCAATGGCGTAGTTTGCATTAGTACATTTTTAAGATGCATTGCTGTTTCATACACTATCAAAAACTTCTCATCAAAGCTATTTGTGGCATGTATCAGAAATGGACAAGAAGCTGGTGTACATCTGGATAATAAGTTAGACTGGTCTAAGAATATAGACTTCATCTACAGAAAGGGGCAGAGCCGCCTCTTTTGCCTGAGAAGACTTCAATTAATAGAGGTCTGTAGAAAGATGCTGCTGATGTTTTATCAGTCTGTGGTGTCTACAGTGTTCTGTTCTACGCTGCAGTCTGCTGGGGAGGAAGCATCAAACACAAAGATGCAAGACGTCTGAACTAACTGGTGAAAAAGGCTGGCTCTGTGGTAGGACTTAAGCTGGACTCAGTGGAGGATGTGGTGGAGAGATCTACACTGAGGAAGGTGGAGTCTATTCTAAAGAACATGGATCACCCACTCCACAACACCTTGATGGACCAAAGGGCCAATGGTGGTGGATGGCTCCTCTCTCTTCACTGCAGGACAGAAAGATTCAGAAGATCTTTTGTACCAACAGCCATCAGGCTTTATAAATCTTGTGTAAATAGTAGAAAACTGTTAGAGACATATTATGTGAGACAACAGACAATTGATTTCCCTTTGGGGATCAATAAAGTTCTTCTTAGTCTTATTTTACTGGAAGGTGGTTGATACATGTTGTTTGAAGTTTGTCTTGGTATTTTGACTTATCCTTCAAAAATTTTTTTCTTTCTCCCTTCCCATTTATTGATCTTATTTTATGTTTTTAGTTTGATTCAATTTATTTTATTTTATCTGTGTTCCGATCCTTTTTGTTCTTTTCTTATAGTATTTCATTGTATTTATCTCTTTTTTTTATTTGGCTGAGAAATAAACCTACCTGTCCTTATAGATTTCAACTTTCTTTAGATTAAAAGGATATTCCAGCGTAACATGAATTTAGGGTCAAACACACCGTAACACCAATTAGACATCCACTCAAGAGATGAATGTTGCCGACTGCTTGCTTCTCTAGTTATACCAATTTGAGTAATGACTGCAGGATAGTAATCCACAGCGGTCTGAGGAACCACACACAAACCTCAACCAAAAAGCCACTCTATAGCCACAAATAATGCTCAGAACAGCACCTAACTTCATCAACAGTTCATATAGGGTCCCAGCCGTAGCACAAGCCACCAAACATCTTTTTAGCTTTGCCTGATTTCTTAAGCAAAGAGACCAAACACAACTGACCTACTCTCTTCCAGCAGCCGCTTGTTTGTCGAGAGACCTCGGATTAGTCCATTATTTACTGCAGTGGGGGGAAGCAGCTCAAGGAAGAACATTTATGATCATTTCTTCATGGAAATGCAATCAGACCAAGACTCTCAGGCAGAAGAACTACAGGGTCTGCAGTGCAAAATGATTAACATGGTGATTATTACTTAAAGGAAATGATAAAGTAATGATCATAAATGTTCTTCCTTGAGCTGCGTATCCCCGCTGGAGTCCATATTGTTATGGTGTGTTTGACCCTAAATTAATTTTACGCTGGGATATTCCTTTGAGGCGTTAACTTAATTTCGAAATTGAAAAATATTGTCTACTGTAATTGCTCTGATATTAAAAATAAAAACACACAAACAAACAACTACCACTCAACCCTTTTGCGGTAAAGTTGGTGGCGTGGGTGTTTTACTTTGAAGGCGTCAACAGGAAGTCCAGTATGTCGTAAGATTATAGCGAGGTGCTCACGCGGGTAGGGAGGGGGGCTTGGGTGTTGCCACGGTCTCGGAGCTGAAGTCAGGATTCCCACTCGAGGTCCAGTCCGTTACCCGCCGTCACATCGTGATCCCCAACCGTCTGCCGTTACCTCTACGCTGAAAACACGACCCCCGAAGCATCATGGGAGTGGAAGGCTGCACCAAATGTATCAAGTACATGCTCTTCTTCTTCAACTTCATCTTCTGGGTGAGCAGCTTGTTTTTAACCCGCTCTCCGTGTTTGTGTGTGTCCATGGAGCGTGTGTGAGTGTGTGCGCAGCGCCGCCTCCTCTCTTGTGTGTAACGGGCTCGGTGTGTCCAGACTGGCAGCTCGAGCTCGTCATGAATGAACGAAGAAATGAAGCTAACGGTTCCTAACTGTGATTTACATGGTAACCGTTATAACCTCCGAATCACCGCGAGGCTCCCACTCACCACTAGGGGAGACCGGGGTCGAACTAACAAACACATTTCCAGAAAGACGTGTGTTAATTCATGTAACTGCATCACACATCTACCATTAGGGGAAAAGAGTAGTTCAAAATGATGGATTCATCACCTCAGGAGATACATGAGCTTGGAAATAAAGTGAGACAAAGCGACTGAAACGCCACAAAGAAGAGTCCTAACTGTAGTTTCAGTTAGTTAAAACCCAAAACATGTTCAACAGTTTTAATTGGAGTCACGGTTAACTAGAAGATCATCAATAAGCGGCGAATACTTTTGGAAATGTTTAGTCTGAGATGTGGAGGCTAGTCTGCTTGGTTTTGGATAATTGCTTTGTTTGGATTACATCCTTCACCCAGTATGTGTGTGTGTGTGTGTGTGTGTGTGTGTGTGTGTGTGTGTGTGTAGGGGGGGCCCAAGGTGGTTTCCATTTGGTGAGTCCGGCCCTGAGTTGGGTGATGGATCATGGAAACATTTGTGGGTGTTTAGTTTTACTCTTGCGCTGCCGCTCATTTGCTTTTCTCACTTTCTGTCTCTTTCTTTGCTGTTTTAAACTTTCCAAACCTCTGCCTGCAGCTGAAGTTAAAACACTTGTTAATTTCACGTTTTTGAAATATCAGTTTGCGTGGAGCTTTGAAAGCAGCCCAACCGGCTGAATTAAGTCTCCTCTAGACACTTGTTTGAGGACAGACTGTTTGAGGGTGGGCGTTGCCACCATGACGTCAGCCATCTGTTTCTGGACTCCCATTTCACAGACTCCAGTTTGGTGTTTTTGGTGTCTCCATCTTTATTTTGGAGCTACATTTGGACAAGAGAGGGGAGCTGGAGAGGAGATGGGGAGTTAGACAACACCAAACTGATGTAGCACTGGCTGTGTCTGCAGGGTTCACAGTTACTGTAATATCATTTGGGATGGTAAATTTGTCCTATTTATTAACCGTAAATGGATGATGGCTTAACCCTGCGGTGATGAGGCGGGGCAGCATGACCCAGTCTGTGGGCTGCTCTTCCACTTTATGCTCTGCTGTTTGTAAAGTAGGTTATTGATTCAGGAGATGGCAGCTTGATTACACTGTTTATCTGACAAAGATGTTAACTTGGATGTTGTGGTGTAGAAACATCATACAGTTTCACTGAGAAAGGCCTAAATACCGAATCACAGATCAAATGGAAGACTCAAGCAGGTTGATTCAGAACTTTAAACAGCCTTATGAAACATTGAAATGATAACATAGAAAAGATTACAATTAAGGTCCTTTCACACCGGGACCGTTTTTGTCGTGCGATTTTTCGGGTGTCAATATTTGACACCCTGTACAGGAACCTGTATCCTGTCAATACAAGTGTTCACATCAGCGACGTTTTCCCGTTCTGCGAGATTGCGGCATTTATTTTTTCGGATCATGGTCGATTTTTCTGAAGTTTCGCATACTGTGTGCGAGATTGTGTGTTTTTGCAAGGTCTGATTCACAACATGGCTGACCGGCTGATTGTTTATGATCATTTACACAAACATTACAAAGATAACGACCTGAAGGACAACTTGTGGAGAGTCATAGCATTGGATTTCTGATATGACGATGGTTTGTTTGCTTTAACAGTTTGCTAAACGTCTTTGTTTTAACTTTCATCTGTGCTAACGTAAGCTAACGGTTGTTACCATAGTTTCATGTTCTTATCCGGTACTGGCCCCGACTCAGTGCTATCATAACAAAAAGCCATCTCAACACTAGTGTCTAGTCCTCTGCCTCTTCAAACTTGGCGCTAATTGTTTCAGAAGAACTTCAAATTGTCCAACAGACATCCAAAAATAGGTTCTGAAGCGACCGTGGTACACTTTCAGCTCCTGAACCAAGCAGTGAAACTCTCCAAGTTCTCTTCTTTTTGTAGGAAGAGAGGATGGTAAGGGAAGGTCCCGCCCTCCTTCGCCTCTGATTGGCTATAAGTGCTGACTGTTTGGCTTGAGTGTGTGATGACGTTTCCAGCTTTTCTAGCCAATCAGAGGCGAAGGAGGCAGGATTTCTCCCGGGAAAAGTCTTCCCCGGGATGCGTCTTTTTCCCCCCGGAAAGTTGCAAAATCACATTGGGCTTGATGTGTATTGTCAGGCGTGTCAAAATTCACCTCAGAATATTTCGTGATTTCCGTTCCATATTTGTGTCGGCCCCGGTGTGTAAGGACCTTTAAGCAGCAACTTCAAGTGTGGAAAAATGATTCATTTTGCATTGCATTAGTGCAAAATCTGACTCTCAAGTGTCCACCCAAAGCTGAGGAAACCCCATTAAAGTCCACACAGCAATTTCCATTCTCACAGCAGGTTTAAGGAAGTTCAAGACAACTTGTGGTCTCTTTATATAACAAGTCATGTGTTTTGGTTATCTTAAGGCTATGACTGTGGATAGGAATAGTAAAGATAGGGATAGAAACAAGTCAACAGTGTCAGCTTCATGGAAGTGAAATGAACAGACACATTCCTGAAAGTGTAACGAAAGTCCAGCCGTCATTTTTGACTGAATCAAATGTCTGTCTTGTTTAAGTCTCGGGCTGCTGCAAAAAGAGTAACAGGTTTGTTCTACACCTCTATACTTGGAGAGACTTTGTGTTCCTATAAAATGAAGAGTCTGCCTGAATCAGTATCAGTCATCCCCATCCATCCATGTGTATTTGTCACAGGATTTCCTAGTTAGTTCAACTCCTTTTGTTGAGAAAGCTACAGAGCAACCAGAAGGGAAACTAGCCTATCAACAGACGGGACAAGCTCCACCATGCTAATGAGCAAATCTTAAAGAACTTCATCAAAGCTACTTTTCTCAGTCTAAGTGACCCCTCTGTGAGGAAGCTTGTCAGAGCCTACTTCGCCCTCTGAAAGACCTTTCAGTTTTGTGCTGTTTTTGGCCACAACACATGTGTCTTCCCTCAGCAGCGAATCAGTCAGCTGACCTGTCTGGACACAGTAATGTCTGAAGAGTTTGTTATTTTAGATGTTGGCAGCGACTGCGGTGTGTTTTGCCAAGTTAAACACATAGTGAAGTACATTGGTTTTGTCATTTTGCAGTCAAAATAATAAAGGTTAAATGCTTAGTTTAAAGATACACTGCCATTTTTGTATTTAACCTCTGTGACAGCAACCCATTTCATGACAGGTGGTCATGAGCTCCCAGTTTACACACCTGTGTTAAGGTCTCTACACACTGGGGCCGACACGAATATATAACGCGCAAGTACAAAATATTCAGAGGCGAATTTTGACGCACCTGACTATACACATCAAGCCCAATGCGCCTCCTTCGCCTCTGATCGGCTAGAAAAGCTGGAAACGTCATCACACGATTGAAAGCTAAACGGTCAAAACGGTTAGCACTTACAGCGAATCAGGTGTGATAGGATAAGCACATGAAACTATGGTAACAACTGTTAGCTTACATTAGCACAGATGAAAGTTAAAACATAGACATTTAGCAAACTGTTAAAGCACACAAATTATCGTCATATGTGAGATCCGGCGCTTTGACTCTCCACAAGTTGTCCTTCAGGTCGTTATCTTTGTAATGTTTGTGTCTTTTATCATAAAGCACTCTGTTCTCCGACACGTAAACAATCAGCCGGTTGGCCATGTTGGATTAACCGGTGAATCTGGCGTCGCAATAACACGCAATCTGATTGGTCAGAAGTGAACACACAGTATGCGAAACTTTAAAAAAAATCGACCGTGATCTGAAAAAATAAATGCCGCAATATCGCAGGATGCGAAAACGTTGCTGGTGTGAACGCTTGTATTAACAGGATACGGGTATGAAAAAAAAAACCTGGCGCCAGAAATAATCGCACGACAAAAACAGTCCCGGTGTGAAAGGACCTTCAGAGCCCTTAGTTTTGAGTCTAGGGCTTGTCTCATCCCCACAAGGTATTATTTAATATACCAACTGGCTACAACTCCATATTACCCCTAACTTCAACCCCTGAAAGTGGCCACATCATGAAGTTTTCTATTGTGAAAATATGTTGACATTTTTCATAGCTCAATTTTTTTGGGAATGACACAATCTTAATCATAGGTCTGTTTAATCGAACAGTTGTTTATCAAACCAGCTACCAGCAGAGCTCTGATATGGTGCATTGAAGATACGACTCTGCCACGCCCATGAAACTGTATTTTAAGGCTTCAAATATGGACCCTGTTGCTGTAAACAGCCTTCAAACTACCCATGCAGTGAGGGAAGAAAAAGCTTGTTGTATTCATCCATAATGAACAACAGACAAAAAAAGAAAACCAACTTCCTGTGTGTGTGTGTGTGTGTGTGTGTACGAAGTGTTGGTAATCCTTCTGTAAAGTGACTTAAATTTGATTATTAATGCATCACAATATCTCGCAGACTCCTCCCTCTGTTAAACACAAACTCCACTTCAGCCTTTTAAGTGTTATTGCCTCTAAAGATCTCTGAGAAAACACCAGTTCACTCTGTCTGCTGTGTGCGGTCAGTGAGCAGCAGGCTGAAAGGGGGGCTGGCTCTTTAAAATGGGACCTCCTGTTTCGATAAATCACACTGGACACTGAGAGGGTCTGGGGGAGGAGGAGGAGGGGGGGGGGGGGTGACTGCAGACAACACCCTAGTACCCACTCCCCCTCCCTTAGCATGCCCAGCATTCTATAGCCCCCTGTCCTCTGGGCAACAGGCAGAAATAGACTCCGCTGGGAGAGCTGCAGCTGATCTCACATGCAATTATATTTGACACAATTTCTATTTATGATGGAGTAAAAAAAATCACAGCGAAATTCTGTGTTTGAAAGGCGTGGTAATCTTTAATTGAATCAATAGTCTGCTCAGAAGGAGCTGATACAGCCACACTGTGGGAGAGCCAGCAGGACGCCCTGTCTGTGCAGACGGCCGGCTGTAGTAAACATGTGGTTACACCGTTTTCTTAAAGCAACATGTGTGACAGCGACTGCTGAATGAGCAACAGATGGTGATCGACAATGTTTGTGGCATCTGCTACCCTTAATATTACATGTCACAGAAAAAGGTCCAGGAAGCCTTTTTAACCCAAATCCAAACCGATATACTGCTTTTGAAGGAGTTTAAAATATGCAGCAGGCTCTCTTTGGTTGGAGTTTCTGCATCTGATTAAAAGCAAATTATAAAATCTGTCAGAGAACCCCAATTAGCTAAAATGCTGACCTCAGTTTTGGAGCTGCATGTCCATTTGCAGTTTTATCGTCATTGCCTAATGCATTTTTGCAATAGACACACTGTAAGGGTTGCTGACATCCAATGAATAAGCAAAAATATCTAAGTCCAATATACAACATCACTTCTTCTTATTATTGTGCTTAACCTACCAGATCAGCTAACAGACAGCTAACCCAGAACACTTGGTGTCAATATGGTGACAGCTGTGAGGTTAGCTGGTACAGTCCTGAGGGAGGAGAGACAATCAAAGAAAGTATAGTCCAGAAAGTTAAGTCTTGGTGCACTTTCTCTACTTCTGAGAGAAGCTCAGTTTATCAAGAGAAAAAAAAAGGAAAACCAATAAATTAGACATGTTTACAATTAATCGAGTATATGCTCTAAAGGTCCTTACACACCACGGCTGACACAAATATAGAATGTGAAATCATGAAATATTCAGAGGCGAATTTTGACGCACCTGACTATGCACATCAAGCCCGATGCGATTTTGCGACTTTTCGGGGAAGAAAAGACGCATCCGGGAGAAGACTTTTCCAGGGGGAAAGTCCCGCCTCTTTCGCCTCTGATTGGCTAGAAAAGCTGGAAACATCATCACACACTCAAGCCAAATGGTCAGCACTTATAGCCAATCAGCAGCGAAGGAGGGCGGGACCTTCCCTTAACAACCAGCGTCCTGGATGGAAACGAGAAGACAAAAATGGAGTCTACTTCAACTTCAAGTGATGGCGTATTGGTACTCCTTTTGCTTTCTCAAAAGAAAAAGAAACATCGCACAAACACGACGTCGCAACAACACGCAATCTGATTGTTCAGAAGTGGACACACAGTATGTGAAACTTTAGAAAAATTGACAGTGATCTGTAAAAATAAATGCTGCAATATCGCGGGACGGGAAAACGTCGCTGATGTGAACGCTTGTATTGACAGGACACAGGTTCGAAAATTATATTGACGTCTGAAATAATCGCACGACCAAAACGGTCCCGGTGTGAAAGGACCTTAACACTTCTCAAAGGAAAGCTGATTTGAATGATGGTTCTTCTCTTGGCAGGTGATTGCCAACAGCCTTCACTAAAGGTATTGACCCATATATAGTACTTTGGTGACGGACTCTAGCCCACCATGTCCATACAAAGCCCTCAAACCGATGTATGGTGATTTCTTGAGCTAGCAAAGTGGTACACCAGTATCTTTGCACACTTTCAACATCAGTGCCTTCTAAACTCGGCCTACTTCCACCTGACATCGTGCACATGCTAATTAACCTTTCTTAGACCATATGACCGCATATCAGCATGTTAAGCAATCTATGTGCCTCTGTGCGTTCTGTAACCATGCCAAACTGCCAGTTACATGCATGATTGAGCCGTGGAAAATAAAGTTATACGTAGAGAAAGGCTGATTAACTGGCCAGGCTACTGCTGATTATTTTCAAATAATCTGCATCACCCTCACTTAAGAGGCTGATTAATACGATAAACAAATGTCTGTGGACATCAGTGTGGTTACTGTTGAGCAATGTTAACATCCCACTACATAAGCTTGGCTCAGATAGCCTTGTGCATTAGAGTACTAATGCGCATAGAGTAAAATATTATTTTGAAGTTGTTGCATTTTATCAAATGCAAATAAGAATATAACAGTTTGGATTTGGCATACATATTTGGTCAACCTGATCTGTAATTTTCTGTTTGGCTGTTGACAAAATGAACTTTGTTCTCCTCTAATTATAGAGGTTTGGGAGTTCAGATAGCACCACAACCTACTCTGCTTCAACTAATGTCACAAAACCACCACAACCGTAAACCTCCACATAAATGTCAAAGCTCTCTCAGCTTGTTTATGGTCATGAAATCTAGGACACCAAACCTTATCTTTCTACATGAATCATGACTCTGAACATTGCCCTGCAATAAAACCGAGTTTATGGTGGGTTAAGCGACAGGTAAATCTCAGTCTGTACACTGAGAGTGAAAGTAAAAGCAGGTACAGTACACCTGTGTGAGCAGACTGTTTTAAGTCTGTCAGCGAGATAAGATAATGAAGATAAGAGATAAGAAAATCAACAAAAACTACGGATAAAATAGAGTACACACCAAAACAACCACCACTCTCTAGACTAACTATCCAGACTAACCCACCAAATGGAAACTCTACCGGTGTTTGGCACTTGGCGGCTGTTACTCTGTTAGCCTGTACTCAGTGATGGAATTTATTTGATGAAATTGTTCCACAGCTGACAGACTTTGGAAAATGCTGAAAAAAGTAAATTCAGCTTTACAGAGCTTCTTCTTTATTACTGCTCTGCAGCTGTTCTGTCTGCTAAAGATGTATTCTTTGCTGTCCTTATTTAACAGAAAGTGTTTTTTATATATGGTGTTGAAACAGGTGTGCCAAGTATAACAACATTCAGCTGTGAACTTAGACACTACTGATCATAAACTGAACCTGACCTGCTGAACTCCCTGTAAGTCCAGGGTTTAAATCAGAGGACCCTGAGTTAAGTTGCTTTAGTGAATTAATTTGTTCTTTATTTATTGTTTATTGTTTCTTTGGATTCCCATTAGCTGTTGTCAAGACAAAGGTAGTCGAAATAACTGCTGTATAACACGAGCTTAATCATAAACTTTTCTTTGGGGCTGTACTTAACAATACCTTTTTATTTATTTATTCATTTATTTTACAATTCATTTATTATTGTGGTACAAATATTCACACAGAGTTAGCTTTAAAAAACCTGTTCAGAGAGGGTTGTTGAGTTAATGTTTGACTGTTTTGATACTTCCATTGATATCTAAATTGTAGGTCCTTAAATTACTTTACAGCGCTCTTTAGAAACGCTGCAAGTTTCTAAAACTTCTCAAAAACTGATGAGAAACACCTGAATATTTGTTGTCATGTGTGTTTATTTTGTGGCTGTACACACTGTCCTTTAACTTTTAACAAAACTGTGTAAAAAGAGTAAAAAAAAAACACGTGTTGAAGGTTTTGAATCAAAAAATCCCAGAAAATGAGTCCAAATAAGATCGAACCCTCAGAATGATTTTCAGTGACTCATCTCAGGAGCTCACATGTTCACTGAAGGGTCCGTCATAGTTAAGTCATTCTGTGGTGTGTGTGTGTTTGAGTGTGTGTGTAATTTCGATGGTGTCTGTGTGTGTGTTTCTGTTTGTGAGTGTTGTGTTGAATTTCGGCGCTCTTGCCAGTTGTGGTGTTGATCTGGTTGCTAGGCAGCAGCTGGCCTCAGCTCTGGAATTAACCTCAGTGAGAGACGGTGAGGAGGAGAAAGGAGGGTGAGGAGGGCCAGCTGAGCCCAAGCTAATGTTAGCCGGGTTAATGAATACACCGCTCCCGTCTTCACTTTCTGTTTGAATTTACTGATTCACAGGGTTTATGAAAAAAGAAACATTTCAACTTAACATCTTGAATCTTCAGTGACATCCTATTTTATGAAGCTATTCAGACTGAACCATGTTTTAGTCATTTTTCAGTCCTATTTTTTTTTGTAATCACTATCAAAGGGCTCACTTAAAAGTTCTAGATCTGTTTTTACACTGTCAAAAAGTGACCACAAAGCATATGAGTGGCAGATTCAGTAGAAAAATAGAAAATATTAAATATAAAGGTGGCTTTTCATTATTGGAAGAGTGTAAAAAGTGTGAATAATTTTGTAGATACTTTCTATAAATGTGAAACAATCCTTTATATTCCCCCGGATCCCTTTTCTAAACCTATTTTATGTCATGAAAAATTGTATATTTTTTTTTGCGATGTGTTGTTTTCCTCATTCTGTTGTTTCATTTTTATCCTGGGACCTACAAAGTAAACACATTAGGAGGTCTGAGGTTCTGAGTGACAGCGGTGAAACAACCAAGCTGGATTTTTCTTCCCTCTGTCAAAAAAGGCTGATGTGGTTTTTTTTTTCCATGGAAGGTTTGTTTAACTTCTGCTGAAGCTTGTTCCTGCGCCCCTGCTCAGGTTTATGCTAACCCTGGTTATATTTAGGATTTCTCTGTCCTGGACTAAACAAAGGGCTGAGGAAGGCTGATGTAAATGTAACGCACAGAGGAACAATATGCTCCCTGACAAAGTCCCACAGTGCAGTGTGTTCAGGGTTTCCCCCAGGAAACTGAGCTGCAGTGGAGGTTGGATGAATACATCCCAAAACATCCACTCCAATTATTTGAACTGTGGAGTTCTCAGACTCCTTTTCTTTAGCAGGAAAACTTTGTTTTCAGCTCTAAGACAAAATACAAAACACTCCTACCACAAGAATAAGTTCTTCTGACTTTGAACAAAGGTAACCAAAAGGTAACCTCCACATGAAGGACGTAGCAGTACTTCGTATTCAGTGCGTTTTCATACACACTTAAAATTGAGTCACAGCCATAGCTTGATCAGGTGATTTAACTGGATTATAGTTCTTGTCCATGCACTTGGCAAGAATCAAATTATTGACAGAAGCATGTTCGCCTCTGCTACAGTAGGTGGACATTCCCCTTCTCAGATTACTATCAGGCTGTCTCCAGGTTGACGTGTATCAAAATAGCCAGCAAAAGATGGAGGCAAGAGGCTAATGGGATGTGACTTTCATAGCTTTATGCCGCTTGTTTGGAATGTTTTGTCTTTCTAACGTGTTTTCCTCAACATTGGAGGTTTTGTTAAGCATATTTGACCACCGGCTCGGAGCCCTCCATGCAGACTCTGGTGTAGACTGCTTAGGCCAGTTTCAGTTTGACTGAGTCAGAGAAAATCGATCTCTAACCACATTATCCAGGTATGTTAGTCTGGCTGTCAGAGGTTTGATTTCAGCTGATAGGGCTGCACCATTTTTGCCAAAAATAAATTCCACATTTTTTTTAAAAAACAGGGTTTCCCCTTCATGCAAGTGATCGTGGCGCACCGCCACACCTAAAAAAAATAAAAAAATTATCTCACATAGTTCTACCTCGGACTCGTATGTATCAGCAGTATTTCCCCTACATTCATTCAGCAGCGGCGCACCGCTGAAGGATTCTACACGCACTGTGTGAGCACAACGACACACAACGCATCAATTCCTGTCGGACCCTCTTCTATCGACGTGAAAGATACGACAAAAAGCTTTTTTTTACTCCTGAATTTGTTTCCATGTGGTTGGGTTGATACCGCCTTCAGACAGACCTTGCTGCAGGAAGTGGTTTGCGCCTCGTCCAAAACTGCGAAGCCGTACCAATTCCACACGACTGACTCGTTCTTGCCCTATTTCGCCACAAAATTATCACCTTTTTTGCAAACACCATGTTTGTTTACACTGGTGTGTGTGGGAACTGGGGTGCTCTCTCACACAAAGGGGGAGCCTGCGGTGGCTTGGAGGTGCAAGACATGATAGAGAGGAAAATCAGGTGATAATTTAAATTTTTTTCAACATCGTCATAATTAATTAATCCGATTACGATTTAAAATCGATTGATCATGCAGCCCTATCAGCTGGATTAATGTTTTGCAGACGCCATTTTTCTGTTTTACATAGAAGAATCACACCCTGGATAAAGTAGTGGACAGTCTCTCTCTCTCTCTCTCTCTCTCTCTTTGTCCATGTAGAGTCGGTCTTCACACCTGTCAGGTAGGCGACAAGGGGTAGAGATAACAGACTTAATGTCTCCACAGGAGGCGCTACCGTACAACATTCTGGCAACATTCTTCTTCTAGCTGTTTTTAGTCAGGTGGGATGAACATCTGTACCCTTTTCAAAATAAAAACATAATCAAAACCAGGAAGTACAGTTACCTAGGCATACGGTTGTACACACTCCTGTATTGAAAGTATCACATATAGCAGCAATTTATTCTCTAAAACCGGATAAAAAGTCAAGTTTCTAATCATGAGCCCAGCATCCGGAATAATAATAATAATATTCTTGAGTCATGTCTGTATTACATCCTTACTCTTAACTCTGCTCCTCTACAAGTGCCTCACTTACAAGAGCTAAACAAAGCCGGAGGGTACTTTAGGCATGTGTTTATGTTTGGTGTTAAGGCTGAATGATACATGGTTTCAGCATCAGAGAGAGGCCAGGCTGCTGTCGCAGTGAAGAGCAAACAGTGCGACATTAAAACAAACACATCAGTTCATTAGATGAGTTGAATTGTATGCCGTCCAGCCTGACCCCAGTTAGCAGGTCATTAAACTCATTGGCCTTAAGTAGCAGGAAAGTTCATCCAAACAGAATCCAGTGGGGGCAACTCAGCTGAGGAAGTTTGGAAAAAAAAAATTAAATATTGATATTCAGCTTCATGTTCTTACTGTTCATTTGACTGCTTCCATTCAGCACCATCACTCATGATCCATTGGAAATGTATTAAAGTTCATTTCAAAATAAAAGCAGGTTTTTGCAACTGAAGTAATGAAGCAACCTAACAGCAAAACTATTAAAAATTGTGAAAATAAAAGCAACACAACACTAATTATGATTTATTTTTCTTTTCTAAATGTTAACACAATCATAAATTTTGGGGGATTTTAAGAGAAAGTGTTAAAAACATGCATACAGCATGATACAGCATGACTTTGAACATCATTTGAAGCAGACGATGACATGTAGGTAAAGTTATTGGGCCTAGTAGTGATGTTTACAGAACTCACATGTCACTCCACCATTGGACTTAACAAAAAACAAAATACTACAGTAATAATCACTTTACTTTCAGTCTGATTACTCATCTGTTGAGATGGTGCAAACACAGCACTGAGAGTGTCCTGCAGCCACAGTGTTTTCGATGGTTGAGAACATGATTTAAAACTTGGACAAGTCACACTCAAAGATAAGATAAGAACGTTATTTTTTCCTTGAGGGGAAATTTGGCGATTCATCAAAATGAAATGCACTGACTGACCTGTGTGTGTGTTTGTGTGTGTGTGTCTGTCGCAGCTTGCAGGAGGTGTCATCCTGGGTGTGGCCCTATGGCTGAGACACGACCCCAAGACCAGCAACCTGCTGGACCAGCAGTTTGATGGAGCCCAACCCCCCAGCACCTTCTACATCAGTGAGTACACCACAGTTCGGTGGGACACCTGTTTTGGTCTGTCTCCACCCTCTCTGTCTCTGTCTCCGTCTTGACTCTGTTTCCGTCTCTAATTTGAACCCAAAAAGTCCGGACTCTGTGTTTGCCTTCTCAGTTTGATTAAGAGGGATATGAGCAAGTACAGAGGATGCTGAAATATTGACGTCTGTCTTCCTGCGGTGTGATGCGGTCTCAGTAATGACTCACAGTTAACAATGAATGGACAGTAAGTGCATGTCTTCAGTGGATGAGTTGCAGGGCTGTTGAAGTAGCTGACAGTAATATTTATTATTGATAAGGGAAAGAGGTGACTTTGAAAGACGTCTTTAATAGTTAATTTATCGTAGCATCATGATAGAACTGAAGACCGTAGTCTTTGTTTCCTTTTCAGATTTATCTTGACAGACTGGAGGTTTGTTTAACTCACAATATCTGCAGAGGAACGTCTGCCATCTACCATTAGCTCTCTAAAGAGAAGCATGGGTTGTTCAAACTCAATAACCTAAAAGATAAGACTGCTAACGTATTTATATCTTAGTGGTTGATAAAAGTATTCAGAAGCATGGGCTGCAAACACTGACGCATTTTCACTTCAGTGAGCCATCGTTATCAGGAGAGAGGTCCAATGATGAAATACTGACTCCATTTTGCAATCAATCTACAAACTGGCAAAGAGGAGGAGCTAATGCCTCCTGGCTAACAGCTGCAACCCTATTCAGCCTGTCAGCTCTTTCTACACCTCTTATATTTAATTGTATACATGATTATCAGCCCAAGAAGATCAAATGAATGGATGATGTAAAGATTCACATCTGTAAAGTTGTCAAGCATAGAGAAATGAGCTGAAGAGACCAAAACAGAGAAAATTTTTAGACTGGCTTTTACGTGGATGGAGCTGAAACTCTAGTGGACTAAACTTCCACGTTGACCTCATTTTTTCACTCTATAGGTTGCCAACAGGTGGAAATAACTGAGGAAACTGAAAGTTTTTTGATTAGAATTTGCTCAGTTCAAATACAAACCCTCTTTTTGAACTATTTAATGTTGAAGAATAAGGGCGCTTAGCTTACTTTGTTAAAGATACACCCATAGAGCTGATTCTTTAAAGTTCTCAAGCTGTATTGTTTTTAAAGTCTGTCCTATTTTATTGGATTTTTACTCAAAGGTAGGTAAAATGACTTTTACATACTTTGTGTAAAAAAGGGCTGGAAGAATATATCCACATTGATGATAAATGTTGTAAAAAAAGGATAATCCTGAAAATCTAATGCTGAAAATAATCCGATGGTAACACCGTAACTAACACCTTAGTGGTCATTTATGGTGGTTGCCACGTAGGGGAGAGTGGGGTAAGTTGAGCCACCCCCTGTTGCTTGGAAATGGTAAAAGAAATTGATCATGTGACCAAATATTTAGGAAATGGGCATCAATTCATGGAGTCTGTGAAGGTTAGAAGTACATGGGTGAAGGGGTTTGACATTTATTTAAAAAAAAAAACATTTTTCACTCTTGAAAGTGAATTCAGTCTATCATAAGTTTTAATAGAATTGTGTTCAGACCAAAAAAGATCATTTTAAATTTGTTAAGCATTAATTGTGGTACCTATGAGCTACAACATGAGGTCAAAAACCTAGCATAAAAGTCCACCATTTTAGCTTAGAGGACTAATAAAGTCATCATAGTAGTTCTGGGGTAAGTTGAGTCAGTGGCTCATGAGATGATGAGGCTGATAAGAGGATCAGAGTTTCAGTTCAGATTGTTGAAAAGTGTTACTTTTTCTTTTCAAAATTACAGCTGTGAATGTTCTGAATCACTCTGATGAGAAATCAGAGATTCTCATGTTAAAATGGCTTTTGACAAAACAGCTTTTTAGCAGTTATGTGCAATAATAATAAAAAGAATCATTGTACCAGTTGAATAGTGTATAATAGCAAAAAATACACATGAATGTGAAGAAGTGACTGTTATTTAGGGAGAGAGAAGGTGAGGCAGGGCTGGGGTGGATATAGAGATATGGCTCAACTTACTCCATACACGGGGTAAGTTGACCATAGGAGACCACTCTTTTTGGCATGCTAGATTATCAAGACAGTTATGTTTACACTCATTCTGGTTTGCAGGGATGCACAACATCTTGAAATCTATGCAGATACACTAGTTAGAGACAAAACTATGACAAAGAATAATCATACTGCTAGCGAGCTAGCTGTAGCAGCTTTCTAAATGATGATCAGATACTTTTAAGGCTGATTCATATGAACCAGTCTGTTGACAGTAAGTGATTTGGCTTCTATCACAGAGCCGATGAGGTGAATAAACAAAACGTCACGTGTCTGTCCACTCTTGTTCTCTTTCCTCTATTTGACTGACTCACTGACGGCGCAGTTTTAATCTAAGGCTTTGTGAACACTGCAATAATATCATTACTGTAAGTGTTTTTGGCTGAGACACCTGTGAGGCTGAAATGTGATATTGCGACAGGCCTAACAGTAATGTTGTCAAATATTTAGGATAACAAACTGAGCCTGTCTGTGACAAAAACAAGAACTTGTAGTGGACCGAAGATCACGTTGCAGCCTGTTTACTGGCCGGTGCTGGTTAAAGTAATCCACTGAAGGAGCTCTAAAACAGTCAAAGTAGTTAGAAATACCAGAATTCCTTTTTATGTGTTACATAAACATGCTGTAAAGTACAGGTGGTACCAAGCGGAGACCCCCTCCCCTCTCTCTGACCTGACCCCAACGTAAAAGTATTAAAGTGGTGCGAAGCGGGGCGACTCCCAGTTGGCAGCTTCTTACGACCAGGCCTCAAAGATGACACATGGCCCATCATGTGACTCAACATCAACGCAAAGTTATCCGCTGTCACCTCTCCAAACAGCCCTGTCACGGCTGAGTCACCCACCCGAGAGGAAGAGGAGCCACGGAGAGGGGGGGAAGGAGAAGAAAATGCAGGATAAGAGACAGAGAGGGAGAGAAGGAGTGCTGGAGCTCCTCAGAGGCAGCATATCTGCGGTCGTACAGCCTTTCTCCTGAGCTGCCTCCGTGATTGCATCCTCCCGTTACATAAACCTCCCCCATTCCAGCAGGGAGAAAAAGCCTCGTCGGTTTAGGAAAAAATTCCTCACTGACCATCCCTCCTCCTCCTCCTCCTCCTCCTCCTCCTCCTTCTCCTCCTCGTGCTCAGCGGCCCCACCCCTCCTCCTCCCTCCTTGTGAAAGTTTCCCTCTCCTTCTCTGCACTCTTTCTTTCCACTCTCCCTCCCCCTCAACTTCCCCATCTGGTTGTGGTTAGTGTTCCCGTCGCGCTGTCTCACTCACCCATTTTTTTTCTCCAGCCCTCCCTTCTTCCCTCCCTCCCTCCACTCCTTTCCTTTTTTCCCCTCCTCCTTCCAGGAACTTTTCAACCTCTACATCTGCTCCTTTCTCTCACCCGTGGACCAGCTCACAGTTACAACTACGCATCATGCCACAGGTTTAAAAAGCAGCAGGTTCGTCCTTTAATAGAGACACAACTGTTTCTGCTGAAAAACTTGTAAAGATTCTAGAGACTGAAGCGGATGTTTAGCTGGCAGTGGGCGCTACTTTCCTGTGAAATGTAGTGACGTTTCAAAAACCCACATGTTCAACTACTACGCACATCTTGTTTTTCGTGTTCGTCATGTTGCCATGCAGTGAGAGTTGAACCATCGGTTCCTTCCCTCTTTGTGAAACCACCACAGCTTTTGAGGCAGAGTCAGTCTGTTGACAGGACAGTGTTTTAATTGAGAGGGCACTATGAGTCAGCTTCTGTAGAAAACAGAACAAACCAGACCTCAGGCCCTTTTTTTAAACTGAATAAAGGATGTTTGGGTGTTTTCTCCAATGCAGAACAAGCTAAGGGGAAAACTTAAGGTCATGACATGTTGAGGTTTTACATTTGTTTCCCTTCATCAGTGTGTTACATCAGACGATGATCTTTACCCAACAGCCATGTCCTGACGTCTCTGAAAACGATGAGGAAAGACGCTGAAACATCCAACAGGTTTTCACCTTTGAAAACAGACCTCACAGTGGTTGCAAGAGACCTGTTATCGTGAAATGTAAGAGCTGTAATAAGCAGAGCTTCCAGACTTGTTGTAATAAAAAGCAAAGTCTTCGGCCTCCTATGTGAAGCTCTTGAACATTTGATGATAACATCATTTGGTCGTGTTACAGCAGTGTGAAACGTGTTGCAAAAGTAGCCACAAGGGTGCTGACCCTGACAATCTGATGGAGACTTTTTTTTTGTCTACTCTTGCAAAATTTCTTCCATCATAACCACAAAAATTGACACGGCTCATTAAACATTTACAAACCTTTAGACACCTCACAGTCTCTTTCACACGTACAAAAAGCCTCTGAAAATGTCCCATCTGTCTGGTTTAGTCGTGTGAAAACACAAGCAGCTGGAGTTTGAATCAAGCGTTTTTGCTGCTGCCTCTTGTAAATAGTCTGTAGAGAGGGGGTGAGTCAGTGAGTCAAGGTAAAGATCAGAAACATTAACTGAGACAGGCAATTTGATCATGTTTTTATTGAGCAGCGTTTCAATGCTTTAACCCCATCACATGGCGTCATTTGTTAGAGTGATATGGATCAGTAGTTGTCTGTCCTATGCAGTGGTCATTTTGGCAGCTCATTTAGATTTCATCTTAGTTCTAAACTGTGGACAAAAGGACCATTAAGTCTAAAGGTCCTTACACACCAGGGCTGACGCGAATATAGAATATAGAACACGAACACGAACACTCGCTTCCACCCGGGCACGTCCCGGGTGGAAGCGAGAAGACTGACACAACAGCAGACTGACTGTTTTTAGTTCTGATTAGACACTAGTGTTGAGATGTCTGTCTGTCATGATAGCATGTACTGAGTCGGGGCCAGTACCAGATAAGCACATTAAACTACAATCCATAAATGTAAAGAAACATCCAAGACCTATCGGTGCTGTGACAGCAATGCGATTGAGTTTGAGACAGTGAAAATACATATGGTATGTTGTATCTGAACAGGTTAGCTTACGAGCTAAAGTTACTTAGCACGGATAAAAGTTAAAACAAAGACGTTTAGCAAACTGCGTACTCATATGAGAGATCAGACGCTATGACTCTCAACAAGTTGTCCTTCAGGTCGTTATCTTTGTAATGTTTGTGTCTTTTATCAAAAAGCACTCTGTTCTCCAACACATAAACAATTAGCCAGTTGGCCATGTTGGATATACTGGTGAATCAGACGTCGCAACAACACGCAATCTGATTGGTTGGAAGTGGACACACAGTATGAGAAACCTTTGAAAAATCGACCGTGATCTGAAAAAATAAATGCCGCAATATCGCAGAACGGGAAAACTTCGCTGATGTGAACGCTTGTATTGACAGGATATGGGTTCGAAAAAAAATATTGACGTCAGAAATAATTGCACGACAAAAATGATCCCGGTGTGAAAAGACATTAAGTCATGTTTTAGTGTAGATTTAACTGATCACAACTTTGTGCATTGGACGACATGAGACGTGTAAAATGTTCCTTACAGCAGGTCAAGAAAAAGACACTTTCTGATCAAACTGACTTTAGACTAAAAAGTTGTGAACATGCACAGTGTGTGTCTATAAAGTAAAGAGCTAAAGAGCACCTTAAACACGCCATGCCTGCAGCGACAGAGGTGCTGGAAAGACAGTTTACTTTCAAGCACATTTTCATTTTTCATTAGTTAGAGTTGATTCAAATGACATGTCAGTTTCATTTGCTCCTGAACACATTTTAGACTGAAAATGATATAAACACTGTTTAGAATTTAAAATGTACTGACAGTACCCCTTTAAATAAATAAAAAAGAATCCCTTTTAAGACGACGACCAGGAAGCATTAGGATAGAGCTGCACCATCAAGTGGCTTCAGAAAATAAAGAGGAGTAGGGCCTCAGGAAAAAAGAGGAAGTCAAAATTCTGAGATTTCAATCAAAATACATACTGGACTTCTTTTCCTCCAGTGGCCCTAATCTTCTTCCGTAATAATACGCAGAAAAACTGATGTGAAACTATTTCTAGATAAATTGAAACTGTTATCCAAACATCTAAGTCTTCAAAGTTTAAGGTTTAGCTTTTAAGAGTTTATAAATCTTTTATTTGTGTTAGTATATCCAGAGTTTTCTGCTGGGCAGCAGGGTTTTTTTTATTAGTTCAGCAACGCCAGAAAAAAAATCACTGTTTTCTTTTTGTGTTTTCAATGTATGACACTTAGTTCAACACTTTTTTTTTGTGTAGTTTAATATCTTACATGTTTTGAATACTACAAAATGAAAATGCCAAAGGCAAAGGCATATAGGCACTGTCTTCAAAACCTGATATCTAAAGATAAGTCTTGACACATACAAAAACAGGTGTAGGTTTCCCCTCCAGCAGCAGGTGTTGCCTCGCCGAAGGAATATTCAGCATTTTAAGAAGTCTGAGCCAATTTACAGACAAGTTAAAGTGAAACTAACATGACTGGTCGTGTTAGTTGGAAAGCCCCTCAGCTGCTGCCAACACAGATCTGTTTCAGAGGCTGTATGTGAGGGCTGAATCTTAAAATTGCAAACAAGAAAGAGAAAACAAGCACTTTGAGTTAAAAATGGGTCAGGTCATAGTGTTAGTTCAGGCAGGCCGCAAAATCAAGCTCAGTCCGGCTCTAGCTCCGCCTTTTTACGCCGTGATGCCTGCTCTGTTCTGAACCAGCGGTTCTTTGCTGCTGCTCTCCCTGCCTCAGGCTTTGGCATTCAGCATGGAAGGACAGGAAATTCCAAGAACAGACTCATCTTGACAAATATAACAGAATTGTATTTTTCCCCGAAGGAAAATTCAATACATACAGCATGCAGATATTATTTTCTGAGCAAACTGAAATTGAAAACACAGACAGTTTCTTTTTCAAGATGTCAGTATGTGAATTCCCCTCTACACTGCCGGGAGGCTGTTTTTAACTCTCATCATGTCCACCACATTTATCCAGTGTCACGGGTGTTACTGGTCTTACATAAGAGGAATTTATCCTTAAACAAATAATAGGAATATAAAATCTAAATCTAAAAAAGTAATTGTATTTGTTGTGATTTTGAAAATGTAATCTACAAAAGAAAAACAAAAAAACGTAAATTATTAATCAAACTTGCATAGACTGGGCACACTGGTAGTGTTTGTTTAAAGTCAATCCAGTTTATGGGCTCCCTGCTGTTTATAACATCCACTTCAGGTAATGGATGTCAAAAGTAATCGATAACGTCATAGCTCTAAACATATAATCCAGATGTGTTGTGCTGCATCAATAAAACATCCGACTGTTGTTTATTAAACAATGAAGCCTTCCTCTGAGCAATTTCCTCTTCCCTCTTATATTTTTAATTTGGCCATTTAAAATCATGAGAAACTCTGACTGCAGTCGTCTGTGGATGCAGCTGAAAAGACATTTAAGAGAGTGTGTCCACACCACGGGATGAACTGTGAACTCAGACCGTTATCTTGTTTCAGCATCACAATGATCGTAATCACTTGTACAAACAGTAGTCACAATGCAGGACCGATGATGACGTCTAAAACTGTGAAACCCTCACACATACTGTTGCTGCTGTTTTGCAGCTTGACACAGGAGCACAGCCTTCCTGTGTCTGATCTGTAGATAGGGTCCATCTGCTAACACCGCAGATAATGTCTGCTGGATGATGGAGGTGTTGGGTTACATGAAGCAGCTCCTCAGTATATGTTTTTAGCAGCACTGTGTCCTGTGGCTAGCTTCTTAAACAAACTGTTCCCAGAGCAGATTTACAGTGTCTACATCTGCAGCACACACAGCATATGAACAGACAGTACAACACAGGCTGACTCCGTACACAGTGTGTTGGTGTGAGAGGACCTGACATCCTCAGTTTGTAGGTGCAATCAGCTATTGCATTGTTCAGTTCCAGGTTAATAACATTGTGATTAAAAGCTATATTTGAATACCATTGTGAAAAAAGCTAAAAACGACATCACACACTCAAACCAAACAGTCGGCACTTATAGCCAATCAGAGGCAAAGCAGGGCGGGACCTTCCCTTAACCTACAGCGTCCCAGGTGGAAGCGAGAGGACAAAAGTGGAGTTTATTTCAACTTCAAGTGATGGCCAATTGGTACTCCTTTTGCTTTCTCAAAAGAAAAAGAAACGTAGCACATGGGTGCATCCAATATCACAAAAAAAGAAGAGAACTTGGTGAGTTTCACTGCTTGGTTCAGGAGCTGAAACTGTACCACGGTCGCTTCAAAACCTATTTTCAGATGTCCGTTGGACAATTTGAAGTTCTGCTGAAATAATTAGCTCCAAGTTGGAAGAGGCAGAGGACAAGACACTACACACTAGTGTTGAGATGGCTTTCTGTCATGATAGCTGAGTTGAGGCCAGTACCAGATAAGCACATGAATCTATGGTTACAACTGTTAGCTTACGTTAGCACAGATGAAAGTTAAAACAAAGACATTTAGCAAACTGTTAAAGCTCACAAACTATCATCATATCAGAAATCCGACGTTATGACTCTCTACAAGTTGTCCTTCAGGTCGTTATCTTTGTAATGTGTGTATAAACGATCATAAACAATCAGCCGATCAGCCATGTTGGATATACCGGTGAATCAGACGTCGCAACAACAGGCAATCTGATTGGTCAGAAGTGGACACACAGTATGCGAAACTTCAGAAAAATCGACCATGATCCAAAAAAATAAATGCCGCAATATCGCAGAACGAGAAAACGGTCCTGGTGTGAAAGGACCTTTAGTTAACAAAATGTTCAAACATCATCATCCTCACAAATCGTCACCAGGTCAACTGATCAGTCAAAAAAAAGATCGATATTTTTATCTCCTGTCGGCCTCGAACTGGCAGTCAAATCTTATGTCTGGGCTGTTGCACCTCCACCTGACTCCACTAGCCAGAGCTGCAGCTTGATAACGGCCACTGCCAGAATGCCATAATGCTCTACTACCTGGATGTAAACAAGCACAGATGGTATCATCGTAGCGCAGCATGATTTGACAGTATTTCTCCTGTCGTGACAGAGCAGCCGATGTTAGATTTTCCTTTCAGTTTTTCACTATTTCACTACTTCATGACTCCTCTTGGTGGCGCTAATGACATTCATTCTGCACTTACATTTCAGGACATTTTGAAATCTCCTGGTAATTACATACAGGGATGTGTTAGTGTATGAGTGTCTTAACCATGGAATCCTTGTACCGTAATTTTATCGTTTTTGTGGGCCACATATCTGTTGTAGTATCGTGAGTTATCCTGCTATCTCTCCCTTTAACCATTTCCCATAATTACCTCTCAGTACATTATTGCAAATGGCTGCAGCCATTGTGATCCATCAGCTCCTCCTCAGAGCGTATGAGAGGATGAAGGAGGCCTGCAGAGTGGCAGACAGAGAGCATAATGGAAGAGGATCCATGAAAAGATTAAATCAAGAGAGACAGGAAGAGACATTTAAGTAAATGGAATTATTGAGAGCATAATTTGGATTGCATTAAATAGAGAGAGCAGAGAGGGAGGAGAGAAAGAGAGAGAGGGAGGAGGAAGGGGGAGGGTGTCAAACTGGAGAGTCACAATCTCAGAAATGCAGGGAGCACTTGGTCTGTCTCCAAGATATCGATTTAGAAATTAGCCTCAGTGTGTGTGTGTGTGTGTGTGTGTGAGTGTTTGTATGGGAGTGTGTATGTATATGTGAGTTTGTGTGTATGTGTGGCTCTGTGGGTAGAGTAGAGGCTGAGAGGAGGGAGAGATGTATGGGAGCGTGATTGTTAGTGGTCTACAATCGAGTTATGGTTGATCTGACAGGCAGGAGTGATGATGCAGAGGCTGAACACTCCCCGCCCCAAACCACGGCAACACACACACACACACACACACACACAGATACAGACACAGGATGACATCACCTTTTGTGCTTCACTTTTAAAGTGATTCTTCGGCTGACATTTGCAACAAACGCAAAATTTAGTGATTGAGGGACACTGAAACGGTTCAATATTTATTCAAACAAAGGACATTCTTTTTCTAAGCTGGAGTTTTAGACATTTTGATATTGGAAAATGATGCTGGTGTAAAAATTGTTTCGCCTTGTGGTTTCACTGAGGATGTTTCTTTCGTTTGTTTTGAGTTGGAAGTAAATTGACAAAGCTGTAGGAGCTGGGAATAAATCAGCATTTCAATTTTGAAAACAATTTTGGCCCATGATCATAAAAAAATATGATAATGCATCTTATACTTTCCATGAAGCACACCCTCCTACTCTTTCTTAATGTGGTTTTAGGGATTTAAAAGTTAAGTCGTTTTAAGTTGCATTAAAACATGTGATGCATCATTGGTATATCACTATTTACACCGGCCCAGACGTTGCTTTTCATTTTCTCTGTCTATTGAACCATGCACATCTGGGTTGGTAAAACTGTTTACAGGATACTCTTGAAAATTCTGCTGAATAAAAACAAAGCTCCTTACACATGTACAGGTATTTTTAGACAGTGTACAGACAGCTTGTCCATGAAAATCTCCCCTGCTCGGTCATTCACTCATTTTCCATAAGGACTCACAGGAGACACCATATGACACTAAAGGACACTGGTTTTTACAAGATACCCAAGATTGCATCTGAAGCAGAGTCTGAGTCTAGAGCATAACAGTGTGATTGGTAAACATTGGCCCTTTGGACAATCATTGGTACATCAGTCAGCAATATTCTGTCTGATAATCTCTGCAGCTGATTTTTATGTAAATCACATACATGTGTATTTGTAAAGCAATAACGCCTTACAGCTGACTCAGAGAAGTCAAGTCCCCTGCTAAACAAGCGGGTTGACTGAAATGATCAAGCATAAAAGAAAATGTTGGCAATGTGGGATTATTACACAGTCTCTCAGAAAGATCAGTGGCATGCAGAGACTAGCAACAATTTAAGTGCATCAAATCTTATAGCTTAATCAAAAATCAGACACAAAATACATCAAAAGAAGTCATGCAAAACGATGCCAGATGGTGGCGGCAGCCTATTTGAAAGCCTTCAAAAAGAGTGTAGAGCTGTGAAATTTGAAAGAGGGAAAATTTAGAGTAGGGTAAAGTAGACTGTACATTACTGTACATGTAAACATGCAAACCACACTGTCACCCAAACACCAGCTGGAGCTCAAAGCGGATGCTAAGTTATGCAGCGTATACTTCCTTTATCAGCAGCACCTCACCCTGCAGGCCCCAAAACTAGATCTGACAAAACTGTAGACTTGTAGTATCCACACCTGCAGCAGACACACGGAAGAGTTGTCTGAGCCACCGTGGTCTTTACCTCTCCTATCAGGGGGCTGGACCCAGCAGGAATAGGCTGACAGACCCACAAAAAAAGTGTAATTGAATTAAAAACAGACTGTATCCAACGGATTAAAGTTTGTCTTTATTCACATTAAAGTATTTATGATGGGGAAAAAAGTAAAATCAGTTTAATTTAATACTTTTCAGTTCCAGTCTGTCTGTGACCAATAGGGATGGGCGATATGGGCTAAAAAAATTTATCACGATAAGATTTGCCATTCTGCCGATAACGATAAAAGTCTCGATAGAAAATATTATAATTCCTATCTTTGTTTTTGACTCATTCTGTCTTGAGGACACCAGTTGGCAGCGTCAGATAAGATATTTATCTACAAGTTTAAGTGGTGGGTTATAGAGAAAACTAGTAAAATGTGTAAACACTTCCAACATTTATTGAAAACTCTTATTGCACAGAGTGAACAGCAGCAGCAGATCATCTGTCTGATGTCAGGCATACCTGATTGCACTCATCTAAACCCCAATCTTCAAGGAAATCCTTCATGTTGAGCCTCATTTAGCAACAAGCTCCTCAGAGACGTCTTCTTCACCACCTTCGGCCATGTTTGTTTGTTATCCTGCTGTATGTGGGCTACTGCTACGAGACCGTTGCGCACGCTTACGTCATCAACTTGCATTTATCGCGTTTATCATGAGAAGGCCAATATTTATCATGGAGGAATTTTCTGAAGACAATTGTGAATGATGATTTATCGCCCATCCCTAGTGACCAATATTGCATTCAAAATTATTGGTGACTGATTGCTGCTTATGGTAGTTTTATGAGGTGTATTGTTTAGAGCTGCTGCACACCTCTGCGTATTCCTCACACTAACATGCACTATAACCTGACTTACATGCATTACATACATTCTTTTAAGTTGCTTTTTCTCGCCTCGTACTAAAAATGGACCATTTTATCTGCAGTTGTATTTTAAAGCATTGTTATCAACTCCACTTCATATTGCTTGTAAAAGGCTTAAAGTCCTGGAAAGTCAGAGTGTAGAGTGGGAGCCCTGACCGGTGTTACACACTCTCATTCACACCTACGTGCAATTTGGAGTCTCCAATTAGCCTAATGATCTTGTTTTTGCATGGAGGGGAGAAACAGGAGTACTTAGAAAGAGCACATGTATGCACATGAGAACATGAGAAGTCCATAGAAAAAGGCTCCACCCGTGCGAGGATCAAACCAGGGGCTGTCTTGTGTGAGAACGCACCACTCTGCGGCCTGTAAACAGCAACGACTCCAGCGATGATTTTAGTTGAATTTAAGATTGAGACTTGGAGTCGTCCTGTGCTGTCCCGTCACCCCCACAGCTAGGCTGACCCCGAAACTCCTGACCTGTGACCTCAGCTTTAATGAGCCTGTTTTTCACTTCCTTTTCTCAGCTGTTGGACCAAACAGCTGGACTGTGAAACACACCCACACACACACCTGCCTGACACTCCGATGGCTGTAAATAGAATACAGAAATGAGGAAAGAGGAAAATTCACTCACTGCTGCCGTCCCTCTGTCCTTCATGCTGTCAAACATTAACATGTGTGTGTATGTGTGTGTGTGTGTGTGTGTGTGTTTGTGAGGACCCAAAAACAGAGCAGGGACTGTTCGGTGTGATGAATTATGGAGCAGGCGCTTTGTGTTAGAAACCACCAAACAGCTTCCTGTGAACATATCTGAAACATGACTCACTTTATTCTGCTGACATCAAAACAACACTGCATCCTCTGCTGGCCAGCAGGTGGTACTGCAGGTGTGTGTGTGTATCTACATGTGGTGAAGGGCAGCTGTTAAACCACAGTTGTTTAAAAGCTTTTAGTGGTTTCTCTTCCTGTATGAGTCGTTCACACTGACAGGTGCTTCACTTCTGCCATTTCTCTTTTATTGATACCTGTTAAGGTGCATTTGCTGCCAGAAGTTAATCAATACTTTCTGTCTGTCCAGGTGTCCACATCCTGATCGCTGTGGGCGCAGTGATGATGGTGGTTGGATTTCTCGGGTGTTATGGCGCCATCCAGGAGTCCCAGTGTCTTCTGGGAACTGTGAGTAAACGTCACATTAAATGCTCCCAGTAGAGTGTTAGACCCCTCCTTTTCTGCATGAGCCTCTAAGCAGGGAGTTTATCAATAGTCCATCATGTTCTGCTGATCAGCACATGGCTGTAATGTCTGAATTCAGTCAATATGGGTGTAAACAGTTAGAATTAGAGATGGGAATTGAAAAGATTTTATCGACGTTGATGTCATTATGGATTCTGCTTATTGATCCAAGTGTTTATCGATTCCTGTGTGGAGAAAAAATAGGCCTATTCAGCTGTTTTGTGTTAAAACTGCAGATCTGGGTTCAGCGCAACTTTCACCTAAATACCCAAATAAGAACATTTTTGCACAGTATTCTTTCATGTTTAGGTTTTAAATTAAAAAACAATCTGTTGTGAAGCCAGGCCTGCATGCTTGTGATCATGTTAAAGGGATATTCCGGGGTAAAATTAATTTAGGGTCAAACACACCGTAACACTGATTTAAACACCCCCTCGAGAAATGAATGTTACCGGCCACTTGCTTCTCTAGTTATACCAACTTTTGTAACGACCGCAGGATCGCAATACACAGCGGTCTGAGGAGCCATAAACAAACCTCAATCAAAAAGCCACTCTATAGTCACAAATAATGCTCAGAACAGCACCTAACTTCATCAACAGTACATATAGGGTCCCAGCCATAGTACTAGCCATCAAACATCTTTTTAGCTTTGCCTGATTTCTTAAGCAAAGACACTAAACACAACTCACCTACTCTCCTCCAGCAGCCACTTGTTTGCAGTGAGACCTCAGTCCAGTCGATTACGGACTGCTGCGGGGTGACGCAGCTCAAGGAAGAACATTAATGATCATTTCTACATGGAAATGCAATCAGACTGAGACGCTAAAGCAGAAGAACTACTGTGTCTGCAGTGCAAAATAATAAATATGGTGATTATTACTTTAAGGAAATGGTAAAGGAATGATCATAAATGTTCTTCCTTGAGCTGTGTCACCCCACAGCAGTCCGTAATCAACTGGACTGAGGTCTCTCTGCAAACAAGCGGCTGCTGGAAGAGAGTAGGTGAGTTGTGTTTAGTCTCTTTGATAAAGAAATTAGGCAAAGCTAACAAATAGTGATGTTTTGTTGAGGTTTGTCTATGGCTCCTCAGACTGCTGTGTATTGCGATCCTGCGGTCGTTACAAAAGTTGGTATAACTAGAGAAGCAAGCGGTCGGCAGCATTAATCTCTTGAGGGGGTGTCTAACTCGGTGTTATGGTGTGTTTGACCCTAAATTAATTTTACGCCGGAATATCCCTTTAATGTAGCACAAACCTTTACCACTCTGTGGACATAGAGCCTCAAACACACAGTACTTTTGATATTTAATGCTGGGCTAGGTGGCCAAAAGTTTAAGCATGTTGCTTGTTTTTCCACCTTTACTTGATGCCACACAGTCAGATATTGCATTTTGAGTTATAAGCATTAATTCATGTAAAATTAAGGAACTGGTTCGCATTAGGAACTGGTTTTTCGATTTCCATCCCTGTCTGGGGGATTATCTGACACTATTAAAAACTAACATTTAAGGAGTTTCTGTGAATCCTAAAACAATGTGAGGCCTTGTGTCTCTTCAGGTTATGAATCAATGAATTATTTATACTTTCTATTTGTTAAAGTGTTTTCATTAAGGTCAGTTATTTTGTTTATTAGTTAAATTCTGAAAGTAATGTGTTGTGCTGCCTTTTCTCAATTTGACTGATTGAGTTGTTTAATTTTCAAGTTTCCTGAAAATATTTCAATATCGTTGTTGTAGTATTTCATAGCCACAATAAGCGTAGGGTGAAAATCTGATGTCCTGACAACCCTCAGCAAGTATTTTATACACAATCAGATTCAGAATCATTTTCCGATCATCGATTACAGAGTACATTAACACAGAGGAGGAGTTTGTCTTTGTGTCAGTGAAACAGTGAACATAGAATAACAAAAGAAATCAAAACAAAAACACAAAGAGTGTTTGAACAATATTGGTTCTTCAGGGCCGATACTGATACTGATTATTGGTATTGAGGTATTTTTATTATTGGTATTGGTTATGAGACCAATAACTGAAACTTCACTGATATAAGCTGACAGTAAAAATGATCATTCTCTGTCAGATTGAGAATTTGAAAAATAGCAAACTTCGACACAAAAATGTTTAATCCAAACTGAAACAGGAGTCAGTTTCACCTAAACAGTTCTGTTTTGTTACATGGCTGTGAGACAGCGAGCCAAACAGAGCGTGTCCTGTGCCAGACCAGTGGTTCTCAAGTCAAGTCCTCGAGGCCCACTGTCCTGCATGTTTTGGATGTTTCCCTGCTCCAACACACCTGATTCAAATGATCAGCTCGTTATTAAGACCATTACAGAGCTTGATAACGAGCTGATCATTTGAATCAGGTGTGTTGGAGCAGGGAAACATCCAAAACATGCAGGACAGTGGGCCTCGAGGACTTGACTTAAGAACGACTGTGCTAGACATTAGATGAGACAAGAGGTGCAAGAATGCAGAGCCAGAAAGAAAGAAACAACAGCAGCAGAGTCCAAGTGGCTTGATTTTTTTACTAGTTCATTTCATCGTCCATCTGTGACATAAAAGGCTAAACTTCAAGTACTGTTTTGTCTTTTGTACTAAGTGAGCAGAATGTTTGAAAAGATTGTAGATTCTTGGGTAGATGAGTTAATCCTGTAGCAGGTAAAAAAAGCTGTAAGGGCTGCAACACAATCCCTGACAGATCAAAATGTGTTTCCGCTAAAAGTTGTTGTTATTGTCACTGACAGGCTCAGACGGTTATTCTCACATTTCTCTACAAAGGAAGTTGAAACTGCGCTGAAACAAACAGCAGGTTTACCTCAAAGGACACATGACCCACTGCTGCCATAACTAGTGCTATAGTTATACAGCAGTGGCAGCTGCTGGTCTTTTAAGGAGGGGAAGCTCGTTTTTTTCCCGGCCTACATCATAAAGGTGTCCTACTCTCCGCTTCTTTTCAAGAAAATGATCTGTGACCCTGTCTTGACAGAAGAGAGTCGCTAAACACAACGCTAGTCATTTTTAACAGAGACAAAGTCGCTGGGGATCGATAAAATCTTCGGATCAGTTCAGAACAACGGAATGAAAAACTTGGAAAATGCTTTGGTGGATGTTTATACTTTAAGAATCGCTGATTCGCTCATTTTGCTGTCAATCAAAAAGGGACTCCACCTCAGACAGATCATCCAATCCTCATGCAGAAGCCAAATGTCCGGGCCACTGTCGCCGCTGTTATACAGTTATAGTTATAATTTGACTTACTTGTTGGATGTAAGCTGACCCTTCAAAATGCCAAAGTCATACAGTGGTACAAACAAACAGTCTGATAAAAGCAGCAGTAAACTATAAACTTCATTTACCCTGACACTAACATTAATGGAGCGAGTAAGTTCTAACAGACAGCTGGAGCCGCTCTGTCCAATCACTCATGTTTTATGCCACACCTTCATCACATGGCAGCATTCCTCTCAAACTGGCCATCTATTTAGGTTGCAGAAACGTTCAGCCTCTTCCTCAGCTTTGTCAGTGCTGCCTCTGCTGGTCAGCATGACTGTATGCACTGTTTTCAGCTTCACACTTAGCCCAGCGGCCACCTACAGGCTGCAAGAGTTAAAAATGAATAAACTCATCATCTCTTTCAACTCAAGCCTCCGTGTCTGAATGAGCTGCTTCTATCACTGTTGTCGGGTGTTTTTGTAGAGAGAGCTGTAACGACTCCTCCATATCAGCCTTAAAACAAAGCAATAACAAAACAACAGTGGCCTAGAAACGTGTGACAATAAGGGCAATTTAATTCAGAGGAAAGCACTGTTAGCAAGAAAAGTTTGGGTTTGTTTTTAAAAAGTCCACCGAGCATCCCAAACTGTATGAAATGTGTCATTTTTCATTACAAAGACTTTGAATTCATGTTTGTGTTTTTTCTTGCAGTTCTTCGCCTGTCTCGTCATCCTGTTTGCCTGTGAGGTTGCAGCTGGAATCTGGGGCTTCATGCACAGAGACACTGTAAGACTACACACACACACACACACACACACACACACACACACACACTTCTCACTTTTTTAGTACATCTGTCATACAGTGTCTTGAGCACTGGGATGGTGAAATGATCAAAGAAATCCAAACTAAATCCACTTCAGGAAAAGGCAGCCTGGTAAAAACCTTCCTGCAGCTGCTGTTTTTACTGCTACAGTTCATTAAGACCGCTCAGGTTCCTCATTCTGATACAGTCAGCTGCTGCTGCTGCTCAGTAGACTGGCCCGTACCCTTGAAAACAGGATTACTGCCCCAGTATACTACAACTTTATTCTCATGACAATATGACTGTATCCTTGTAATATTATTACTTTAGTATGACTTCATTCTTCTGATATAATCCCTTTTTATGTTAACTAGGGCCCAACCGATAGGGATTTTTTGGGGCCGATGCCGGCATTTTATTTCTGAAATTATCTAAGGAAATTGGCAAGCTTTGGCCGATTTCCGATTAGTCTCAAACGGGCTAAAATTGGCGGATGTAATTGGCTCGCCGATAAATCTGTTGGGCCCTAATTTTAACATCTTTGTTCTTGAACCCTTTATTAAAATAAAATAATACCCGAAAAACACACACACACACACACACCCTCATTTTTCAAGCAGAAGCCGCTGTGAGTGAATCAAAGTGAGACAGCCTGTCACGATGTCCCACCTGCAAAGACAGAGTTCAAACCAAACAAAGACTCAGAGGTCAGGCTGACAAAATAAGAGTCAGGGTAGTGTCGGCTGGTTTTGATAATCTTCAGGGTTCAGATGACGGCCATGCTGTCCTGATTTCTGAGTTCACTTACTCATGAACCCAACTGATAGGAGGGTCAGCCTGACCGTGAGAAATGGAGGACAGTTTGGAGCGAGCGGCTGATTGAATGGCGACATTCCTGCTCTGTTTCAGGTGTCAAAGGAGATGATGAACTACTATGACTCTGTGTACGACAAAGCCATGGCGCAAAGTCTGACTGACAAGGAAAAGAAGCAGGCGGCTGCATCTGTGCTCAAAGTCTTCCATGAGACGGTGAGATGATACACTGCAAAATATTCTCCATTCATTATATTCAATGTGTTTTTTCCTCAAGTCTCTAGTGATGCAGAGAAGGGATGTGTTAACCATTAAAACCAGAGTTTGAACTGTTTTATGTCAAAAGTTACTCTGGTGTTTGGTGGGAGCTGGAGAACAAACTAAAGAGAACCTGTGTAAGCATCTGGATCATCCATGGATTTGTGTGTGCGTTTGTGTCTTTCAGCTGATCTGCTGCGGTAAAGGACAGGGAACCACCTTCCTCACACAGTTCACAGACATGTTTGGCATGACCGACCTCTGCCCCTCCTCTGGAACCACAGTGGTGAGTGTGATCACACAGATCTTTACTTTATTCCTTCAGGTGTAACAACACTTCACTGTGCAACTAAAAAACATGTACAAACCAGCCCGTTCAAATCCAGGGGAACGATAAACATGTGGTGCAAGAGAGGCTGTAATCTACCGCTCCGTCAGATCAGTGCAGAGTGACTGAGACTAGGCTGAGGATTAACACGATAGACATGACTTGTTATATGTAAACTTGAGGTGACAGATACTTAAAGTCAGAGCAATTCCTGCAACCACTCATTTCATAAAAAAATTCATGTCATTCGTTTTTTTTGTATGTACTGTGCTGCTGTAGAAATCTGGCGCTGCAAGCTTCATAGCAGCCTTAACTTTTAAGTTGATACAAAAAAAGCTGATTAAGCAAAAAACTCCAACATGAAGGTGGAGCTTGGCTGTCAGTAACCCTGTATCTGATGTGACTGACTTGATTTCTTCATTTTTCTTCGCAGAACTGCCACACAAGGATCCAGGAACTGTTCTCAGATAAGATTTATCTGATAGGTATCGCCGCGCTGGTGGTCGCTGTTATCATGGTGAGAACATAAAGCCGCATGTCACACTGATCAAACCTTTGATTAACAGTGTCTTTCTTCATTGGTGTGACAAACAGTGTGAATACTTCATGGTTTGAAGACCTATGATTCTCATTTCAGTCTTTCAATTTGTCAGTCTGACATCTATAAAGTAGCCTCTTTTTTTATCTAGCACGATCATTCAAGCCTTTTCAGTTTCTGTCTGAAACTCCTTCTTTTAACCGCTTTTCCAGTGATATAAAGTTACTTATATCTGACACAGCATGTAGCATTAAAAGCACTGCAGAGCACCATTAGTGTTGAATTCAGACACAAATGTTACTACTCAATGCTTTCTGCTACTTTCTGCCATTCCTTGGAGTTATTCTACCTGCAGCTGCCCCAAACTTGAGTGCAGAGAGTTTGGATATTTACTTACTGGGAGGAGTTTTCTCATCTCAGCTCGTGGAGTCAAAGACGTACAAACACAGCCACATCAGGGAGAAACATTTTGCATGCAAGTTCTGGCAAATTTAGAAAAAAAACCCTGACATGATGTGAATTTGCCCTTTTGCTCCTCTTCTCCCTTTTTTTTAATCTCCTAAAATTATCCTTTCATTTATTCATTCTGTGTTATTTAGTTATCAGTTTCTTTTTTTTTTTTCTTTTTTTTTACTTATTTATCGTCGCATGTCTATTGGTTGATCCTGTTTGTTTTTCTTTATTTCTACAATGTGTAATGGATATTTGATATACATCTGCATCATATGCAGCAGTACCTAGGTATGGGATTGTTATTATTATTATTATTTTATTTATTTATTTTTTATTTATTTATTTATTTATTTATTTATTATTTTACACCACTGATCTTGTCGCAGATACTGTTTAATATTTAAGGAAAAACTCTAAATTACAAGTAAAAAAAAAAAAAGAAACTAGAAAAAAAACAGCAATTTACAAGTGTGTGTTGAAGCATTGATGCTGTACCAATGGTTCAAAATTACATGGATAATATTGGCTTTCCTAATGCATATCCAGCATCATAATGTGTCTGTATTAAAGGTTGGGTGTCCTGGAGATGGTGTACTGCTGAAAGCTCCTCTTTGTCTGCCAATTCAGTTTTTCTGTCAAAGTGTACCAGTGATAGTGTTCTAGGTTGAAGCATTGGACTTGTTATTCTGTGTTCAACAGATCATTTAGGCTAAAATATACAGAATCCGTATTGAGCGCGTTATGTTGGCGTCACGTCTCACACAGCAAGTAGGTTGCCATTCTAATCAATGCAGTATCGCATACAGGACACATATCAGCTCAGTATCAGAAGCGTGTCGAGCGCGGCCCAAGTCTATTTTTGCTGCTCTACACCTCTAATATGTGTCAATCTTCACAGAGAAGAGCGTTCTAGACAGGAAGTCAAGCATGAAAACATATGCTTGTCATCCGGTATTTCAAAGTAAAACACCATATGCGAACTCCCGACTGTGTATCAGTTCGTGTAGATGAGAAATACTCCCTGGTTATGGATTTATCAGTAACACAGAACAATCCAATGGTCAGTCCCTGATCCATGTGGACCCCAACAGGACTTTTAACTGCTAACTCTGTCTGAAGGTAACAGCACAGGATAAATGAACATAGTTTCCTTTATTAGACACGAGTAAACCTACAAAAACCAAGACTGTAAAATCACGTTGCTTCACAAGCCCCATATTTAAAAACCAAGTCCTGTTAAACTGATGAATAAAAACAGACAGTGTAAAACATCTTTTCATTGAGCACTCACTCCTCTGTTTGTGTTCTCTCTGCAGATCTTCGAGATGATCTTCAGCATGGTGTTGTGCTGTGGGATCCGTAACAGCCCGGTGTACTAAAGCGTGGGCGTCCAGCCGGCTCGCCCTGAAGGAGGGACGACCCCGCTGTCCGTCCCCATCTCTTTTTTTTTTTCTTTTATAAGCAGAAGATGTCACATTTATTGCTTGCTGGATTTAGTTAGCTCTGTGAGGAGATCATTTAAGCGTCCTCCATGGAGCATTTTAATGACACTGTCGATGAAGTTTTTGTTAGTCACAGATGCTGTTCTGCTTATTTAACCCATGCTATCCTAACCTAATAGGTAGATATTATATCACAATGTCACACCTGAGTTACCCCCACCTGTCTGCCCTGGTGCTCGACTCCTTTACTTGTTTACTGCTTTCTATGAACATGCTTTATATTCTTGTTTTATGGATGTTTTTTCACTGTTTTATGTATAAACTGTATATAAATATATATATTAACAGTGCTTTATGACTGCCTGAGCATGGATGTTGTATTACACTCTTCATACAATCTCTGCTTGTTTGTGTTGCTCCAGACTGAACCAAATGATGGAGACGCTTTAATGTTGGCATCACCTCTTTTCTGTTGTGTCTACTTAGCATCCACATCGCTGTGTGACGTCTGCAGGAACTGGCTGCAGGAGGATTTTATCTCAGTCGCATAAAACTTTAAAAAACGCTGGAGGATACCTTTAGATTAAAAAAAAAAAAAAAAAAAGTTGCTTCAAGTGTAATCAAGTCCTTAAAAATCTAGCATACTCGTCCTGCGGGGCTGGTTTCGTCTGGCCTAGTTACAGACTTCCACATCAGTACCAACATCTCAGTTTTGTCGGAGCAGCTCGGATTATTTCAGCTCAGGAATTTTTAGAAATATTTCAGGAAACTTCCTTCGGTTTGATCTCCAGGCGGATTAAAGAGAAGTCTAAAAGAGAAATAGTCAAAGGTTTCTGTGCAAGAATGTGTTTATTCTTGCAGCAACACCTTTTTTCTATGAACTCATACAGCAGACGACACAGTAAAACTCCAGCCTGACGCCAGTTTCTAAGCAGACAGAGGCATATTTTGGCGTTTCCTTGTCTGGCTTAGTCTGCTCATGTCTCATTGTTCTGTCTTTAAATCTTCACATTGTACTAACCCTCCTCATCATCATCATGATACGCGTAGTAAATGTTCTCGTTGCAGGGCTGATGGTTTGCACTAAGTGTTTTCAGCCCTGCAGAGGATGCTAAGCTGTTAGTTTGACCCTGAATGCTCTCCAAAAACACTTTGAGCGAGTGTGTTAGCGTGCATGTACACAACAGATCAGAGCAGACACATTATTATGAACACTTTTTTGAGGGGTATCACCACTTTGACGGTGTGTTAGGATGAAGTTCTGCTTTGCATAATCACTGAAAGGACTATACAAAGTTGTTATTCAACCAAGTGTGCAAGGCAGTATCTTGGGTGTGTTTTTGGGGTTTAAATAAACACAACAGAGAAATATTGGTAAGGTTGCAATTTGAGAGCATCAACTAAGACTTCTTCAAACCATTTTGCAGACTGCCCAGAGAAAAATCATAAACTCAAACTTTTGAAGTGTCTGAATCACAATATGGTTATTTCAGCGTCCTTTCAATCAGTCTGTTGTCATTCAAGCAAAATCAAATCTCTTGCTGTAGTAAAAACCAACTCCAGCGAGTGTATTGTGACTCAGTAGATAAATAACAGTTTTATACTAAGAAAAAGTTCCTGCAAGAAGCCCCTTCTAACCCGCAGCTTTATGTAATTAATACCTCACATTCACTGTCTTCATAATTGTGTGTCTGCTCCCTGTAGGTCCATTTTTAACCCTCTCAGGCTGGTTGTAGTTGTGGGTTTTGTGGTGTTTAGTCTCAGGCAGCACAGTCACACTAACAGCGACACCCTGAGCTGTCTGCTGAGGTTCAGTGGGTCAGGAGGACCGGCTGAACATGCTGTTTCTTCACTCCGTCACGGGCGAGAAAATGTTCCGTCCTGAGGTCTGATCCCGCTAACCTCTCTGCTGCAGCTCAATTTAATGTTAACACCCACTCACACTCAGTCATGTCATCCTGTGTAACCTTCGACATTATCACACTCTGCCAACTGAAACCCTATCCTGTTAACATCTCAAACTTAAACTGAGAACCAGTAAAAGTGTCTTGTAATATTTACAGCTCTTATGTATTGTACTAATGAAAATCATGAAGGCTGTAGAAAGACAATGTATGCCTTTTTTCTCTTGTATTGTGATAACTTGTCTGGTACGTCGTCGAAGAAGGTCTTATACAGAGAGGGTGAAGATTATGTGGCAGTGTGGACTGAGAGGATATCAAACCTTTAACCTGTCGGACTCTCTGACAGACCGGTTCATGAAGCTGCCCCTCCTATCTGATGCTCAGGCCGCACTGCCTCTTTAATCTAAATCTCTCTGTTCTGTAGACTTTGGTTTGCCCAGATATAAAGGGATTAAATGTTCTTTACAAATACACTGAAGTCTTGTCTTTTCTATTGTAAATGTTGGCCTTGTTGGCTAACAAGGACAGGGTCAAGGGGTCATTCTTTCTGGAGTATTAAACACTCATCTGAAGGACACTATATCACATTTTAACCAGTGGGAGTGCAAACAGAGAGCACTTTTTTTTATTTTTAATAATATCTCAGCTAATGGAAGGGCAGCAATAGTTTGCAAAATAACACTTCGGGAGGGATTTTTGCTTCATTTGGACAGGGCAGTTGCAGAGAGACAGGAAATGTGTGGAGTGGAAGATGTGGAAAGATTTTAAGCAAAGGATCGATTTTTTTGTGCAGTGCCCTGATGGCATCCAGGGCACTGCATATAAAAGAGATCAGTAATCCAGTGAACGAATGAGGAGAAGTTAGTGAGACCTAGTTAGTGAAATGATTGAAAAATACTCATGTAAAGGAGCTTCTACAAGAGGAGCAGTCAGTGGAGACTGTAAAGCCACAAAGCACAGGACAGCTTTTGGCCAGTCTTCCTTCTCAGTCAAACGTCCACAGATTTGGACTATATTACCATCAGAAATAAAAACATTAAAGGACCCCAAAGCCTTTAATATCAAAACAAAACTATGGATGAAACAAAGACAACTCTGTGAACACTAACTTACATATATGTGCATTATGGCAGGTATGTGTGTCTATGTATATGTATGTACAGACCCTTTCCAAAAAATTAGAATATCATTGAAAAGTTTGTTTCCATAATTCCAGTCAAAAAGTTAAACTTTCATCAGTTACAGATGCAGGGCCCACATTTTAAATGAATTCAAGTATTTATTTGTTTATTTTTACATAATTTAGGCTTCCAGCTCATAAAACCAATGAAAACAGGAATTCAAAAAATTAGACTACTGCAAAGAAACCAGCCCAAATTTGCCCAACCAACATGAATGTTTTAAAGTGAGTGTCACACACTAATCATCTACTAAACTCAAAGCACCTGCACAGGTTTCCCCAGGTGTCATTAAGTTGCTTCAGTTTGGTTTAATTGTCTCAGTTTGGTTCAATATGGGGAAGACTGCAGACTTGACAACTGGCCAGAAGACCATCATTGACACCCTCCTTAGGATGGATAAGCCACAAAAGTTCGGCTAGGGAGGCTGGCTGTTCACAGAGTGCTGTGTCCAAGCATATCAATGGAAAGGCCAGTGGAAGGGCAAAATGTGGCAGGAGAAGATGCACCAGCAAAAGAGATGACTTTGGGCTTCAATGGATTATCAAGCAGAGAAGATTAAAGAATCTTACAGAGATTCAGAAAGAGTGGAATGAGGCAGGAGTCACAGCTTCAAAAACCACCACATTCAGATGCATCCAAGAGATGGGCTACAACTGTCGGGTTCCTCAGGTCAAGCCACTTCTGAGCCTGAGCCAGCGTAGAAAACGTCTCAATTGGGCCAAGGAGAAGGAGGACTGGACTGTTGGCCAGTAGTCCAACTCCATTTTGTTCCTTTCATTCGGGAATCAAGGTCCAAGGGTTTAGAGCAGTGGTTCTCAAGTTCAGTCTTCGAGGCCCACTGTCCTGCATGTTTTGGATGTTTCCCTGCTCCAACACACCTGATTCAAATGATCAGCTCGTTATCAAGCTCTGTAATGGCTCAATAACGAGCTGATCATTTGAATCAGGTGTTTTGGAGCAGGGAAACATCCAAAACATGCAGGACAGTGGGCCTAGAGGACTTGACTTGAACCACTGGTTTAGAGAAAGACGGGTGAGGAACAGAGCCGAAGCTGCTTGAGGTCTAGTGTTCCCAACCAAGGGATTCCCAACCAAGTATTGAAGATTGGCATATGGCTTTGAAAGTACCATTATTTTGATTGATTTGATGTTATCCTAATTTCTTTATTCATTTTCAGCAAAAACAGAGAAGTAAATGGTGATTTTGTCACAGTATTCTAATTTTTTGAATTCCTGTTTTCGTGGGTTTTATGAACTGGAAGCCCAAGTTATGTAAAAATAGACAAATTGTAATTACTTGAAATTGTTTAAATTGTGGGCCCTGAATCTATAATCCATGAGAGTTTAACTTTTTGAATGGAATTATGGAAATAATCTATTCAATGAAATTCAATTTTTTGGGAAAGGGTCTGTATATATGTATGTGTGAGTCTCTGGATTTTTGTGCACAGAGGAAACTGCTTGTTTTGTCTGCTTTCTTGTTGTTGTTATGCTGTCTGTACCTGCTATAATGTTAGTTTTTATTTAGTGGTTTATGTATTATGTGCTGTATTTCCTGCTGTCTAACCACGGACAAGGACTGCAAATTAGCCACGGCTAGAAGTCCTGCTTACACAGCATCGGTTGCTCCTTAACTAACAATGCTTGATGTACTGTCCCTGTAAAATAAACGAATATATATAAAAAAGGCAGACTTCAACAGCCGAAAAAAATGTAAATGATAATGCCTGACTGATAATGAATACGTAAATTGTGTGGATTTTTTGGCTTCAAACTTTTAACGTAAATATCTAAAGCGTTTTACAGTCCCTGCCCTCTCTTCAGCGCCACAACTGTGCATACTCCCGCGAGGTCGGAGCACGTAGCACGTCGGCATGGATGACGTAGTTACGTTACAGTCATGCGGCGCGCTGGTGTCCACGGTGCAGAGTCTGACTGGACCTCCGACTGTCATATGTGAGGTTTTTGGCTTGGCGTTACAGCTGTTATTCGCTCTTGACCAATAACACGTGTTCTCACGTGTTAATGTTTAACTTCCGTGAAGCTGCATGAAGGTAAAACACGACTTAGATGTCGAAATCATTCAGACCGGAGCGGTTCAGATCATACTGCAGAGAGGAGTTAGTTCAGTTTAGAGAAAGTCAGAGTTCACAGCATGGCAGGTCTGCGAGCAGCGAAACAGGCTCTGAGGAAAGAAATCAAGCGGAGAGTCGCAGCTCTGAGTGAGGAGGAGAAACTTCGACAGTCTCTGGTTGTTTCACAGAAGGTGAGAAAAACACTGAAAATATGACAGGAACTCTCTGACATGGAGGTCCACTTCATGGTCGGCGGTCAGCTTCACTTATATGAGCAACTTACAAGTAACACAGCGCTTCTTCTAAAGGGTCTCCTGTCCGGCTCACACTCAGCATGAAGCTCTGTTTACTAAATGAATATCAAGTCAATACAGGGGCGTGTCCAGGGAAAGCAGATGCCCCCCTTAATGCCGCCCCCAATCCTTTACTGATTGTAGTTTTTCTTTGACAGAGGCAGGACTTATGTTAAAATTGACCATTTGGACTGTGTTGCAACAGTTTACTTTGTTTAAACTGTACAAAATTTGTAATTGTTATTTTGTATTCAAATATAGCTTTGCACCGGGGTTGACGCAAATATAGAATGCAAAACTACGAAATATTGGGAGGTGAATTTTGACGCGTCTGACTAGCATCAAGCCTGATGCGATTTTGCGACTTTCCGGGGGGAAAAAGATGCGTCCCAGGTGGAAGCGAGAAGACTGACACAACAGCAGACTGAGTGTTTTTCAGTTCTGATTAGACACTAGTGTTGAGATGGCTGTCTGTCATGATAGCATGTACTGAGTCTGGGCCAGTATCAGATAAGCACATTAAACCATAATCCAGAAATGTAAGGTAACAACTGAGACCTAATGGTGCTGTGACAGCAACACGATTGAGTTTGAGACAGTGAAAATACAAATGGTATGTTGTATCTGAACAGGTTAGCTTACAAGCTACTGTTAAAGCACAAAAACCATCGTCATATGAGAGATCCGATGCTATGACTCTCCACAAGTTGTCCTTCAGGTCGTTATCTTTGTAATGTTTGTGTCCTTTATCAAAAAGCACTCTGTTCTGGTCGGCCATGTTGGATATACCGGTGAATCAGACGTCGCAACAACACGCAATCTGATTGGTCAGAAGTGGACACACAGTATGCAAAACTTTAGAAAAATCGACTGTGATCTGGAAAAATAAATGCTGCAATACCGAAGGACGGGAAAATGCTTCTGATGTAAACGCTTGTATTGACAGGATACAGGTTCGAATAAAAATATTGACATCCGAAATAATCACACCTAAAAAACGGTCCCAGTGTGAAAGGACCTTTAGACACCACATCGAGAGATGAATGTTGCCGACCGCTTGCTTTCTAGTTATACCAACCTTAGTAACGACCACACAATAGCAATACACAGAGGTCTGAGGTAGGGCTGCACGATATATCGTTTGAGCATCGTCATTGCGATTTACATGTGCACGATAGTGACATTGCAGAGCGATCTAATTTCAAGGGTAGCTGATTGAGATACACTGCCTGGGACTCTGCATATGCTGTGCAGCGATCCACCAATCACATTCGTTATTTACTCAGTTGCCAATCAGACTACCCTGCCAGCCGTCAATCAAAATCAGAGAGGAGGAAACCACACCCCTGCACATGGAGTAAGTCGCTGGCGCTGCCGGTGTTGTGTTGGTTTTTTCCAATATCGTGCATTCTTAATCTGAGGAGCCTTAACAAACCTCAACCAAAACGCCACTCTATAGCCACAAATAATGCACAAACCGGAACCTAACTTCATCAACAGAACATATAGGGTCCCAGTCATAGTACTAGCCATCAAACATATTTTTAGCTTTGCCTGATTTCTTAAGCAAAGAGACTAAACACAACTCACCCACTCTCTTCCAGTAGCCGCTTGTTTGTAGCGAGAACTCAGGCCAGTCCATTACGGACTACAGCGGGGTGATGCAGCTCAAGGAAGAACATTTATGATCATTTTAAGAGTATATGAATCTCACTTCTTTTTTTGATGTTGTCCCCTGCTCCAAAAATCACTCACTTCTTTCTCTGTTTTTTTCCCTCAGCTGTTTAGACATCCAAAATACGCGTCCTCTCAGCGGATTGCGGTGTTTCTCAGCATGCATGATGAAGTGCGCACTGAAGAAATCATTAAAGATGTGTTTAAGTGGGGCAAAAGCTGCTTCATTCCCAGATATGAGAGCAGCAGCAGCCACATGGACATGTTGCAGCTCAGGAGTGTGGAGGATATGAGGACACTGCCTCTGACATCCTGGAACATCCAACAGCCTGCAGATGATGACCACAGCCGGGAGGAGGCTCTGAGTGCAGGTGAGGTTATTCTTCTGGGTTAGAGCAGGCAGGAATCAGAAAATCAACAAATTTCAGTATATGAAATAGTTTTCATTGAACTTTGAAGTCTGTATTATTTTTGTAGAGTATGTCACATTCAAGAGCGTCATTTTTCCTCCAGTCTGACCTAGAGTTAGCTTTCACTGACAGAAGTTTTCCCTTTACCAGATCATTTATGTCTGAAAATGACAGAGCAGGATTTTATGAGCTCAATCAGTCAGGGATCTTACTGAAGATGTCAGGAGTTGAGTGATGATAAAACGAAATTTACTGTGAATCAGATCAGCAGCTGGGACTGTAATAAATACTCTGCAAATGGCCTCATTTAAACACATTCATAAAAGCACACTGGAGTGTTCTTATAAATAATAAATGAACTCAGTATCAGAGCTTAAACAGATGTTGTTTTAATGAGCGTTCATCTCTGAGCCCTCCAGAGCTGACTTTATTGTTTTCTTTCTAAATGATCTGAGACCTTGTGCTAAGATTTCAGGAGGGCTCTGTGAAAACCTGATTGGGGTCTCGTGTGACAGGGTTTCCTGTCTTCCTGCAGCACCAAAACTAAATAACAAAGATTGACCAGCAGGGGGAGCTGTTGATGCAAATAAAGAGCCGATTACATACTAATCGTTCATTTAAATACTGTATTTCATGTGTATCATGTTAATTACTGTTCAGATTTAAAGAGGGTCTTAAAGAGACAGCAGCTAAAACTAAGTGTTTCTAATTGAGGCTTAAATAATTATATTTAATACACCAGAGTGAGAAATATAAGGCTTTTTTATCTGAAAATCATGTAGAGATATTAAAGAGGAATCAGAAAGAAAATCTCAAGTCTAAAAAAAATGCATGATACCCCCCTTCCCCCAAATGTTTCTTTCAAACAGTCATTTGTTGCAGCTCACGTCAAGTGTAAGTCAATTAATAAACTTAGCTGTACAAAATACTGAGGCTCTCATTCAACTCATCCTCCTTGTTATTCTGTATAGGTGTTGGTTATATTAATCATAAATTTACAAATAAGCTGAATTCATGTGACACATAAGGAAATGATATGATTTAGAATCTAAAGTTTGAGACAATCTCTAACACAAATGGAAGTTTTCTCTGAACAAAATGAGTTTGTTGCATTTTTATTCAAAGTTAAAGAAAACAGTGGGTTAAAGTAAGTGCATTAAATGTGTCTGCTTAAAATCAATTAACAGCCTTCTACAGGGACATTGTTATTTCTTGGGGTTGGGAGATATCTTGTAGATAGTTTAAAATTAAAGGGTAGACTAATCCACAGGAAAAGGTTAAACTCCAGATTTGTAGATTTGGAGTTCAGATTAAGGCTGGACACTTTGTGAAAATTTACCACCTCCCCATGATCAGGAAAGCATGCCCTGATCCAAGACTCGCTGTAACCAATTTGTCCAAACAATACTCGTGTTTGGAGATCACACAGCTATTTTACTGCTCCTAAGTGAATCAAAGCTGAAACATCATCCCTAACAGTTTAGTATCTGAAGCTCCTGTGAGGAACTTTAGGTTTGTGTCACTGTAGCACCCCCTGTGGACAAAGAAATCTTTACATATCTTGTTCTCTACAAGCTGAAACAGCGTTTTCTGACTGAAAATCTGATCTGTGCACCACAGTCTAAACATTGAGATCTGCATTTTGAACATTGATTTTTCTCTTATTTTTGTGCAATCTATGATACAAATATAAGAATGTTGAAAATGTGCGTATTAAAATGTGTTACAGTCAGTCTCGGAGTTAGAGCAGAGTCACAGGGTCGATAACTCCTATTTGGAACTGATATGCATTAACTGTTCAATGTTTAATAAACAAGCTACACTTACAGTACAGCTACATAACATTGTCACGTTACAGTGAGCCAATCAGATAATGTAAAAAAACAGTGCAGACGCACAAGCAGCGAAGCCAAAGTAACATCAGGCTCAATAATCATCTGGGCCAATAATCGGTCTCCCTTTATCATGAATATATTATATTAAAATATAAAAAAGAATAGTGCCAGATCACGTTCACTTAGTGCCAGATGTGACCACTTTTTTTTTCTTCTTGCAATTAAGTTTCACAGGGCTGTTGGCCAAGCACACACATGAACATATGACCACAAACATGTGAACAAAGGAGGACCAGGGCATCAGTTACCCTGCTGAAACTGAAGCTCAGGATATAGATTAAAAGACACCTGGACCAACTTTAGTTCTGTCTCCTTGCAAATTGAACAAAAAAGACTTTTTCTACAGTCTTGTTTGCTTTTGGATCTCATATAAAGGCGTGAAAATAAATGTCAGTCTATTTCATAAACATCACAACACTCCTCGCAGGAGCTTTTATATTCTCAGTGGGACTGCCTTCGACGGCATACTCTCAATAATGACTGACAGACGCAAGCAGGGAAACATCACAGACTCAGCCACAGCAGCAAATGAAAACACAACTGTGCTCCAGCGTTTCAGGACTTTAGATTTCAAAGTGAAGAAACAGAATATTTTCAGTTATGTATAAAGAGGATTTCATTGATTGTTTCTTCTATCCAGCCTCTGTTTTGAATACTTCCTCTTTTATTTTATTGAGCCCAGTTTGAAGTTGTGTGGTCTTTTATTAGTATGTCTTGCTATTTTGTCTCCCTGTTTTATTTCTATCTTCTGAGCTTTTTGAGCTTTTATGTCTGGGAAGCACTCTGTAACACCTGTACTTAATAAATCAACATGATTGTTATCACACAAACAAAGAGAGGGAAGTCTTTATCTGAGAAATCTGAAAAGCATCCCTGTGGGGGTTTCTGTTAGTCAAGAGGCTTAGCTCGCTTATTTAGGCGGATTGTGCACTTGCTGATACGAGCGCCAGATTTTGTATGAGGCTTCCTTAGGACATACTAAAGCTTTTTAGCTTAGGAGCCCAACACAGATATTGGAAGTGTCCATATAGAACACTAAAGTTGTTTTTTCTATTAAAAAATAAATACATTCGTGAGTCATAAGAACATTGGTGATAAATAGTTTTTCTTTTTTTTTCCACTTAAGAGGGTGAAACTGATTTTAATTTGTTCACTGATTATTAAACCTCGAAAATGATGTGTAAAACAGAGTATCAAGACACCTGGTACCTGTACACCCTTAACAAAGTACTGCACAATAAAGGCAGATTTAAAAAAAATTAAAAATGTGTAGTTGTGTAAAGAGCTCTCACTCCATTTTTGTTTAAAATTTAAGCATTAAGGTCCTGACACACCAGGGCCGATGCGAATATAGAACGCGAAATAACGTAATATTCGGAGGAGAATTTGGACGCGCCTGACTACGCATTAACCCGATTGGGGGAAAAAGACGTAATCCAGGTGGAAGCGAGATTAAAAATAATCGTCCAAAATACTACGACAAAAACGGGCCCGGTGTGAAAGGACCTTAAGTATGTCCGAAGGAAGCCTCATACAAAATTTGGCGCTTGTATCGGCAAGAGCACAATCCTTTCGCTAAGCCACTGGACTATATGTTTAATAAAACTGGGTAAAAAGAGACACAAACCAAGCCTTCATGACTTATATCACTTTCCGCTTTCATCCTCCAGGAGGTCTGGACCTAATCCTGATGCCCGGTCTGGGTTTTGACCCCTCGGGGAATCGTCTGGGGCGTGGCAAAGGCTTCTACGACACGTACCTGGAGCGCTGCATCCGACACCCAAAAGGAAAGCCCTACACCATCGCCCTGGCCTTCAAAGAGCAGCTGTGTCAGGAGATCCCTGTGGACGCCAACGACGTGCTCATTGATGAGATCCTATACGAGGATAAGGAGTAGCTCTTCATCAGGAGAGAGGGTCCATGAACTTCACACTAATTTTCCTGAATGTTTACTTCTTAAAGTCATTAAACCTTTAAGCTCAGCCCTCTTAGGTCCAGTATAACTTACAGATTCTCTGCAGACATAATGAGCTGATTCAGCAGATACCTCAGGTGGATCCACTCACACTACATGTGTGTTCAGACCAAAAGACATGTCATATTTGCATTTCAGTTCATTTTGATCGACTTTAGATGTGAGTTGAACCATTCAATGAATAAACATTTTTGAAGTTTGCTTTCCTCGCTCCTTGTTTACACACCTCCAAAGCATGAATGCAGCTCGGTGTAGCTAATTTGTCATCTTTTCAGCCTGTTTAATGTCATCAAATCTCAGTGAAATCTGTTTATTCAGCCCTTCAGAGCTCTGAAGTAAATATTACTGATCATGTGCGACATGTTAGATTCAAAGTAAATCTACAAATGTAATTGTTGTGTTAAAGGTGCTTAAAGTGCAGATTTAGCAGTTAAAAAAAAAAAACAGCTGTGAACAGGCAGGTTTCTGTGAAATTCTGTAAATGAAGAGTTATGGTTTTATTGATCAAATAAACTGCAAATAAAGTTGAAGTTTTGACACATTTAGTGTTTTTTTTAATGAATCTGGAAATCTGATAAACTTAACAGTCCTGCTCTCACCTTTTACCCCAAAAAACATTCTTATTTGCCACGATCTATCAAAAAAAGTCAAACTTCAATGTTTGTATATGGATTTATCACAAGACAGTTTTTTATCTTCATCAATACAGCTCACAAAATTAAAAGAAATCCTCTCTTCTCATTGGAATATTACAAAACACCAAAAAAGGCTTAAAATACAATGTTGATGATGAATAAATGATGCTCTTTTATAACCAGTTGGTCTCTGAAAATTACTGCATCAGTGTGACGTGCTGTGGAGATAATCAGTCTGTGTCTCTGCTGAAGTGTTATTGAAGTCCAGGTCTCTTTAATAGTCTGTGTTGTTGCTCTGGTGTCTCTCATCTTTCTCTTGATGATCCTCCAGAGATCCTCTCTGGTGTTTAGGTCAGGCCAGCTGGCTGTCTGATCAAGCACAGTAATACCACAGTCAGAAAACCAGTTTCTGGTAGTTTTGGCGCTGTGGACAGGTTCCAGGTCTTGCTGGAAATGGAAATCTGTTTCTCCATAGAGCTTCTCTGAGTGACTTTACCCTGTATTGATTCTGGACTTGATAAAACACAGTAGACCAACAGCAGCAGATGACATGACACCTCAAATCATCACAGACTGAGGAAACTTCACCGTGGACTTTTAGTACCTTGAAGGATGTTAGACTATGAAAAAAGTTAATTTATGAGAAAATGTAATCATATTAAGTGTTCAATAGATACAAAAACAAAGAAAATAATAAGACTTCGGAAAAGAAATAATCAAGGGTAAATGAATTCTTCAAAATTAGCTGCAGGAACTGAAATGACTGATCGTATGATCCATAACCTTGTACCAGTTATTCTGCAGAGAGCTGTGAAGCTGTTCAGAGGAGTCAGTGAAGCTGTAAACTTCTGCCATCTGGTGTCTTAAGTGAAAAGGTACAGTTGGCCAGCTGAATCTCAGTAAAAGGCTTTTTTTTTTGCAGAAGGTCGAGAGCTCACGCCTTCAGACAGCTGCTTATAGAAACATACTTTTATATACCTGTTCATCACCTCAAGTTCAGTGTGAACACCTGGAGCTCCACCGCCAGGAACAAACATCTCAGAGCTAAAAAAAACAACAACACATGAGCGGAGATTCAGCCACAACAGGATACAGATAAGGCTGTTCAGTCAGATTAAAGAAAATCCTATATGGAGGTAATGAAAACAAATTAATTTACAAATGATAATTGTAAGCAAAGTGAGGAGGATCCTGCTCATCAGCTTGAATAAGTTTAGCTGTAAACTAACAGCAGACAGGACTGCGGGTAAATACCTTCAAATGTAAACTTGCATTGCTGTAATATGATGACTGGTGTTTATTCAGTTTTTAGATTTGCAGGTTTGCAGCTACTTTCTTCTGTAATTTTATAAACTATATGTTGTTGACTTAACAATCTTAACACAGCAGATCAGGCTGTTTTTCCTGATCTCATCTGTGTCTGTAAAAACTTCATATATCTTGGATAGGTCAATTTAGTGAGAGACAGTATAAAGGAGTAGTTCCTAAACTTTTTGAGCCGTGCTTTTCTGTAGAGAATTAACTATTTCAGTGCACAATCTTTTATCTTAAACAGGAGATTGGACCCTTTAGAGTGTTTCTGTATTCCCACTTTAATGTAGATCTAAAAGGCCTTTACCATCCCTGCATAGAAGCTTTAACTGTTTATGGAGATTATATTTACAAGTTAACTGCAGTCTAACCAGGTCTGTAAGTTCAAAATGCAGAGGGGGAAGAGGATAATGTGAGTTAGCTGCTGTGATTTCATTAACACATTCTCTTCCAGAGCTCTCCAACTCCCTCACCCTCCTGAGGAGTGACTTCTCACTCCACAGGTCATCTCCAGCTCACCTGGACTTCCTGTCACCCCCATCCCTCAACCCCCCCTTTTTTTGTTCTGCCACCATTTGCTCTGCTCACTCCCTTCTGTCACCAGCCCCATCTCCTAAACACACACATGACCTACAAATTTAAGGTTCAAATTCAATTACACTTGATTTGAAAATGGGTTTCTTTTAAATGTCTGTTGGTTCAGCCATACACTGCATTAGGTCAGCTTAAAGCACAAAAATATGTTTTGTTTTGTTTTGTTTTTTGTATGTAGAAAAATCTGCCTCAGTTAATTTATGGTGAAGGTCTCAGTTTTATGTCAAGGTTCCGATCTACGTGTTCACACCAATACAGTTCATCCAAACTAAGAGAAAATCAGGTACTGACAAAATTGGTCAGATTTTTTTTACCCCATGCAGAACAATCTGCAAATCAAGCATCATGTGCTGCTGCAATCTGAAACAAAACTTCACTGAAATCTACAGTCACTCTAAAAATAGGCTAAAATGATGATAGAAAGCACAATAAAGAGACACACACTCGTAAAAGATTGATGAGAAAGATATCCTGAGAAATTCAGGCAAAGTTCTTCTGCTCTTGTCATTGTTAAGCATTCAGATATGATTCCAGTGTCATAAGGTACCAAGTGAAAAGAAATAAAATCTATGTGACTTTATGGTGTTATTTATGATCTTTATGATTCAATACTTAACTTTGATTAGCTGGGGAGGAAACACTTGAAACAAGAAACATCTCTTATTACAAGGTAATATACCAAAACTTTGAATCGTTTTGACCAACCTATGATGTTGTTTCCTGTCTCTGTCCTGTTGATCTGGTGTTGTGTGGCATCTATGTTATTAGCAGAAGTTATTTAAGTCAGATTGAACCCTCAGGGTTAACACAGCCACGCTTTAAGTGTTTCATTAACAAATACCAGACCAACACATCAACTGGTCCAGATTTAGACTCTGTTTGACAAGTGTCAATGTGTGTGTCTCTGTGTTTGTCTTGGTGTATTCATGAGGACCAACTACTAATGGACAACCTGTCAGTGGGGACTTTCTGTTTGGGGGGGACATTTTGTGAAGTCCTCACAAGTTAAATGCTTGGATAAGCTTCTTTGGTCCTAGTGAATGTTTTATGACTTTCACTTGAAAAGATGACTGTGTCCAAGTGAGACTCTATTGACGTTGTCTGTGGTTCAGGAGTGGTTTGACAGTAGTAACATGACACTTGTCATCCATTTCCTGGACTCGTCTGTTTGTTGTGGCTCCAGCCTCAGTCCTTGTGAAGCTTCTCTAAGTTCTTGAATCTGTTTGTTTGCACTCATCCCTGTTTCTTGGTCTCCCTCTCTTCCCTTACTTTTCCCTTCTGTCAACTTTCCATAAATCTGCTTCCATACAGACTCTGTGTAAAGCCTAACTTTTTAGCAATGACCTGTGACTTACCCCACTTTTACAGGGTTTCAGTGATGATCTTCATCGACAGTCTTCCCATGATTTTGGTTGAGTGTACAAAACCATTAGAGCTCTGCAGGACTGACAGAACATACAAGAAACTAAACTTTTCCACAATATTCTAATGTTTGAGATAGTCGATTTTTGATTTTCCTGAGCTCTAAACTGTAATCATCAAGATAGAAACAAACAAAAACTTTGAAATAGTTCACTTTGTGTATGATTAATCAAAAAAAAATGGAAGTTTCACTTTTTGAAGGATATTACAAACTTTTTCAGGACACTCTAATTTACTGAGCTGCAAGAAATTGATCCAAAGCTTTAAAGAACAACCTTGAAATGCTAAAACTAACAGATATCCAATGAAGTACAGCTTTACAGAGAGAAATTTGAAGTGTTTATTTTAGCAGATATTTTCGATTTGGTCTCAGTCTGTAGACTAAAATGCCCTTCAGTTTTACTTTCATTTTATCTTTTGATCAGGAATTTGTACAAGTTGTTGAACAAGGGTTTTGTTTTGCAACATCTCTCTCATTCAACACTCTGAGTGTGTCATATCTGGATTCCTAACTTCACTGGATACTTTAGTCAAAGACAGTCCTACTAATGCTATGCTGCAAGAAAGGCAAGAGTAAGACACAGAACAGAGTAGACTTCTCATCAAGGTGAGATAAACACAAAAGCTTTTTCCTCTGTTCTCATCAGGGTTTGCTTTCTCTGTCCACAGGTGTTTGAAGAGGCCGACATAAAAATGATCTGAAGAAAAATTGTCCTCCCCCTCAAAAATATTCTGCTCCAGAAATAGCTGTTCAATAAGGCACGTCTGAAGGGTTTAATTTGTGCAGACAGCAAGACATTATGAAAACACAGCTGCAAGTATAATGTTGATTCCCCCCAAATGAAAGAGACAACCTGAGAGCTCCTCAAGATCCAGCTCTCTCTGGAGTTTATATCTGGCCTCTGTTTTCGCACTTAAAAGACCTTTAATGGTAAGAAAAAGGTACAAATTTTAAGCGTCACCTCAGGCCTTGCATTTGTGGCTCATTTTCATCACTATCCACAACAGCCATGGTTTGCTAATAAGTTTGACAGGTCAAGCAAAAGTACACACTTGCCACTGATTGGTTTCTCACATATTTGACAGTCCAGGTGTGTGAGCACAACCACATCACTTAGTCATTTGAAAAGCAGGCAGACACCCCAGCAGTGTTAGCGTGTGAACAAAACTTCTAGAAAGTACACAAAATCTCCAGGTTGATCCACATATGCGAGAGCAAACAGACAAAACGCTCACCCTAAATCTGCCAACCTTTTTGTTAAAATTTCAGAGTGAAATCTGTGAGCCAACGTGGAGACGCAGCTGAAATATTTGGAAAAAAATTCAGTGTGACTGAGTGGGTTGGGGTGATGGTGTTTATATAATGAGATCTGTGAAAGACCAGAAGAGCACCATGTAACAGGATGAATTCAATCGAGGTTGATGATGGGGACTCATCTTCAAGATGAGAACAGTAAAGATGTCTCGTATCTGTCTGTTTACCATGTGGCATTGGTATAAGTGTAAAACTGTCCTTATGTATCAGGTCTCTGCTGCTTCAAAGTACAAACTCATGCAGCTGAATGCTGAACACTTTTGATCTCCATTTGTCTATGTTTGAAATAGACATGCTGATATGGTAAAAGACTGGTTGTTATGCTGCTGACTATACAGATTATTCAGAAAAATGAAAATAAGTGTTCATGACCTTGTTGGTATTCATAATTGTAATTTTTCTTTTATTCATTTGAATTATGCAAATAAAAACCTTTTACTCCATCTCTGTCTATCAAACTGATTTCTTGTTTATTACCAGACTACTGCCCTGTGTATAACACTGTGTGCCTAAAAAATAAGAGAGAGGAAACTTGAC